ATTTTGGTCGCTGCCGATGCCTCCAATTACGGAATCGGGGCAGTCCTCTCCCATCGCTTCCCTGACGGTTCTAAGAAAGCCGTTAGGCACGACTCAGGCACACTGACGTCCGCAGAGAAGAACAACGGTCAGATCGAGGAGGTCTTGGCCATCGTCTTCGTCTTCAAAAAGTTCCAAGAAATGCTGCATGGTCCGCATTTCACCGACCACAGGCCATTGCTGTCAATATTTGCTCCCAAGAAGGGCAACCCGTAATATTCGGCCAGCTGACCTCAACAATGGGACGTTATCTTACTTGGGTACGATTTCGAAATCCGCTTCTTCCGCACTTGGGATTTCGGTCAAGCTGACGGTCTCTCTCGCCTAATCCCCAAGCACGTTGAAAACGAAAACACGGTGATCACCGACTGTAGCCGTAGAGGAAGATGTTTATCATCAGCTACCAAACACTATTCGCAGCCTCCCTGTTATCGCCGCCGATATATACGTCGCGCCACTGCACATGATCCTATCCTCCGCCAAACTATGGCTTACGTTCAGACACCATGGACTAACACTGTATTAGCTGGAGAACTCAAGCACCTATTTCAGCATCAAGAATCTCTCTCTGTACTTGATGCGTGCTTCATGACTGCCGATCGAGTCGTTATTCCTGTCTGTCTGGGAAAAGTCGTCTTCTGTCAAATCCATTCTGCACACCCTGGTACTAGCAGAATGAAGGCAATCGCTCGCAGCTACGCCTATTGGTCTGATATTGATAGTGACATTGAAGATTTGGTTCACCGTTGCTCCCGATGTCAGCAAGCAGGTAAGATGCCAAAGAATCAGCCCCTGGCAATCAGCGGAACAGTCATGGTCACGCCCACGCCAAATGGCCTGAAATCGTGACCGTGAACCCTCTGACCACAACGGCAACGATAACTTGTCTCCAGCGAACCTTCAGCCAACACGGACTTCCCAATGTTCTGATGTCCGATAACGGGTAGTAATTCACGTCATCTCAATTTGAAGAGTTCTGCAGCCGTCACTGCATCCAGCACATTCGATCAACGCCCTACCATCCACAGTTCAACGGCCAAGCGGAAAGTTCCGTCGACACTTTCAAGAGAGCACGATTGAAAGCTCGTGAGGAGGAGACCGTGGAAACAATTACCCAGACTTTCCTATAGAACCACACCGAATCCAGCAGCTCAAGGAGGAAAATCACCCGCCGAAGCATTGAGGGACCGGAAGCTGCGTACCACACACGAAGCACTGGTTACAACCGAAGAGCTGCCAGTGAAAACCAAAGTCCACACCAGTCGCAAGGGCTTCGCGATTGGAGCTCCTGTCTTTGCTCATGACTACCGGGCTGGTCACCCACACCGGATGGTAGCCACAGTAATGAGCCATCGTGGTAGTGCGCTACATGATGTCTCTGAGGGAGACGACACATAGATTCGGCACCAAAACCAACCTCGACGGCGCCGAGAAACGCTCAACGAACACACCAAAGCGGTTACACAAATACCGTTGCACATACTATTGGATACGTTCGGAATCGTTGCGCAACCACCGGGGCCTATGGAAGTTGTACAGCCGGCCTCAAACCATACCGGTCCTCACCGCAGGTCGGAACGCATCCATCAAGGGATTGAAAGACTGTAGATCGACCCGCAACTAAACGGTATGTTCAACCTTGAAGGGAGAATGTTATGGGGACTTAAGGTCCACACAAGATCGCAAAGTGAAATTACGGAAGGCAATGAGACCCATCCAGACAGGTGCACATGTTTCGATCAGCCTTGTAACTAGTGATTCATTTTTCGATAAGCCTTTGTACCTATGAAACATTCCTGTTTCCGGCCAATCTCGGCAATCATAACATATTCAGCCATTTTAACTAAGAAACATGTATTTTCCAGTCCAGCCTCTGCATCTACCAACATTAATTTTTCGACATGTTTCGTCGGCATATTCACATACTGCCAATTCACGTGCTTATGCCTCGCTTCCAGGTTTGCTTACGCAAACCATTTAGTGAAAATTTAGATATTCCATAATCGCAGTATATAGGCAAAGCTGGATTGCGCAGTAATCGACTTGAGCCTAGCCGGTATAAGTGTCTGTTGCGAAAGGCATGTTTTCGCCTTATTTCGCACGGGTTCAGGTAGTCGCGTGTGAAATTGGATTCGGTCTAGGAACCCGATCAACTTGCGCTTGGTAACTGTGTTGCGCTTAAGTTTCATGAGTCGTATGAACTTCGAATTTCGTCGGTTACCTTGTCGTGTGTGGATATAGTTCCGAGTCACTTTCGTTCGGCCGACTGGGAGAGTTGTTGATACCAGATTGTCAGAGCGTGGCGTAACCAAGAGGAAGTCAGCGACCGCTTACTCAGCTCGTAGCCTTAAGGATCACAAGCCTGCCTTGTAATCTGAGGGCGTGGGATCGAGCCTGTATAGGGTCCGGGCGACACTTGCAGTATTTTTAGCCCACGTGCGACCGGTGGTAGTTGCGCGGCAGAGAAGTGTCGATACTGCGTAGCGGAGTACTTTGTATGCCTCTTACTCAGCTCGGATATCAGCGTACTTTGATACACATTCGGAAAATCTGGCTTCGCCAGTTGGTAAGTATCTATGCACTCACAGCGCCATTGCGGATGTCCGCCGAAACGCACCTGTAGGTCGGCGCAAACGCTCGTAGTTCAAATTGGCTGAGACAGAGTACGGGGAAGTTATGAGAAGAAGATGGACACGACTCATTCATCCGAGGGATGAGTGCAAAGAAACCTCACCGTGAGGGTAAATATGTTCACAAGATGAAAATATTTCACCGGTTGACCAGGCAAAAGGAACTTTCGAGAGAGCTATCTAGCCGACTTGCTGCATGACCATGGTACCATGGGTCACCTGGACCTACGTGGGATTTGAACCCATGAACTTCAAGCATTGAGAAAACCCAAAACATCAGTAGCTTTCATCCACATGCTTCCTGGTTTACGCTGTATGTGGCGCGGGTGAGTGGAGCTGGGGGTAGTGAACTTAAGCCATTTATGATCCCTCAGTTACGATCCCTCCTTGGCGCATATCTTCCGTTTGTTTGCAGTCACAGTGATAGGTAAAACCGAAAATGGGTGCTCCAGCCCCACTAGTAAGGTGCATGCGGTGGATTAGTCCATCTGATAGTGGAACAGAGTGCGCCGAAAACTTAGGTGATCCAAAGCAGTGACATGCGCGAAACGGAATGCAAATTGCGGCTCTGACACGTCCCGGGATTGGCTGCGAGAGACCGATATGAAACTGATCCGTCAGTAGTGGTTGTCTTGACCCTTCGTTTACTCCATGCAGGGTACAACCAAACAGGCCCCGAATATGAGCTGCAAACGTAAGGGGAATCGTTCCAGTTTCTAGCCAGGCCACTTTGAACCGTTGCATTGTTTTCTGGCGGTCGGCCGAGCTGTCCTATCTGGAGAACAATGCCTCTTTCGCAAAGATCCATTCTAACTCGACGGGTAACCTTCCCACCGCTTCCAGGACCGCCTTCGCTCTGCCTTGAAGAAGACTCCGCAGGGCCGCCAGCGGGTCTTCCGTCCGGCCACCTCGTCGAAATCTCCAGGAATCTCCGCACACGGATGCTTGTGCCTCAAAAGAGTGCATGTTAAATATCGCGGTCTGTCGTTCACAGAGATAAGCGTTTAGTCAGCAGGGGCAATTAGGCGAAAACTGCAGCGTAGAACGCGTCGACATATATTGACCGTGCACGTAGGTAAACAACGATCACTGAGGTTCCTACTTTGAATCAGTTAAACAGACGAGGGGCTCACCGTAGCGCACAAGAACTTCAGTGCAGATAAACAGCAACATGTACTGCGTCCAGTGATTGAATCTGTCAGGTTGTCCGGCCCGTTTGTTGGATCAGTCTATTCGCACTCTCGTCACAGTATGCAGGGCATTAAGGTGATCACCATGGGTAAACGTCGAAATGGCAATTGAAATTAGAAAGTGTTATTGCGCCCGAAGATGATACTTCCAGCGTCATTCAATACCACAGGCTAACGCTTAACCGATGTGTCATCGTCGCGCTTTGGATTCCCTCGTGCGGGTGAAGTCATGACGTCAGTCAGCCAGTGAAATATTAAGCCCTGTCGCAGTATAGTACAAACTGCAGTTGGGCACATAGAGCATACAGTCTTAATAACATTGGTAAATGAGTTCATAGGGATTCCGGCGTGAAAAGATGCACGACCTAGCCACCGACCTGTGCACATCTGTTACGCATGGTTGGTGGGCACGCTCCGAACCAACTGTGGTACCCAACGACACGATTCTCAGTTGCATTCCTTTGTGTTTGCAATGGATAAGGGGGTATGTGGATGGAACAGCTCAAGCCATACACAGTTCCGTGACTGCAGGTGTCTTGTGACTGTTCAGAACAACACTGACGGGGAATTGGAAAATCGAATGGGTCGACATAACCAAAAACCCGAAACAAGCGGACTTTCATGAGCGAAAGTAACGACCGGGCTAAATAAAGTGTTCACACCAACTTTGAAATGTAGAATGTGAGATGACGTGGGAGACGAAGACCTTGATCGCTTCAAGATCTATGAGGAAAAGGGAACAGACACTGATTATGCCAAAGGGGACGATGATTTCCAGGATGACAGGAATCCATGTAGCGCAACAGGCGATGGGTAACAAAACATAGTGTCCAGAGAATAGATTCCGCCGGGTATAAAAATTAATGCGATTTAGTGGGGGGGGGGGGGGAGGAAATGTCCGAAGTTGGCCCGATGCAGCTGCGACGGTCTCTAAGCGCAATTTATATACCGTGGGATGTAGAACACAGCCTTCTTACGCGATTTACTCCTACGCCTAATTGAGGGTAAAGCAGATTTATGACAACGTAGTCTTCCGACTGTAAAAACGAGTGCTTTGAAAGTTAGCTGAGAACTTCAACGAACCCAATAGAAAGACGTCCTTGAAACCGTTTACACGCTGCGTCTGAGAGTAATACTGCTACACAACACACTTGAAAAGAAGCCTCATATTACGGAATAGTACAACAGGTGCGAATGATGGATTTTGCCCCAAAACTGATTGTGATAACTGCGAAATGGTAAGAAAAACTAGATTCAGCAAACAAATGATGATCAATTCGAGATCGCTTGATAGGTTAGACTTGAAGACTCATGCAGGTGGTCGAATGAAAGGTAGAGAAAAAAACAGTCATTTGGAAACAAAGCGAACACACTCAAAAGTACGCGGATCAGGCGGAGCTGTGGAAATCGTTTGCGACGAACGAGGAAGTGACAAATCGTAGACGCACAGAAAGAAAACAGGTAGCAGCGAAGCGGTGGTGTTGCGAATTTGCGAGGGCATTCACGATTAAAGATGACCAATTGAACAATGAGAGACCACTCATGGGCAGACAGAGGTGTTTAGCAGAATCGCTGTACACACACACGTATTGATAGCAAATATGACCATAAACCGTAAAAAGTTGAGGGGGGTCAGGCACGTGGTAAAATGACATAGGATACGGAAACCAATCGTTTGGTGTGAGACTGCCAGTTGGTGCGAACGGAGACCGGAGGAGTAAATAAAGCTTAAAGTACGCACCTAGAAGCGGAGAAATGCGAGTTCGTTGTAGTTGTTGCAAAAACGGGGAGGCTGTGGTTGTCCGGGTATATACGTGAAAATGGATACGAAGTACGAGAGTGAAAGGACGAAACCTATGGGGGACGAAACATATTGGGGCAAATATTCAACAGCAGCAGTGGCTACCGCCGCTGTTGTGGGCCGGAGAAAATTCAAAGCTAATGCAATCTGGCAGAAAGGTAGACTGAGAGGAGAAGGGGGCACATGAGGGGATGCTCGAGCACTAAACGGGATGAAGTGCGCGCGACAACGACACCAGTGAGAGGAAATGAAAGTCAGCTGTGGCACGTTCATGCCTGCCCTTCTCGGTAACGGCCGTCGTACATGGTGCTGTTGCCACAATTCAAGTGATGCGTCTGAGCGGCTGAGTTACCACTGCCCATCAGCGAATTATGGTGTGATAGTTGCGGTTGGACCCCGGATGGAGTAGGAGGCAATCCGATGCCACGAGGAATTCCATACTCGGAATAGTCACGAATGCGAGGTGGGGGTCCGACCAAAAGGCCCATTCCAGTGCCACCCGAAAGGTAGCCGCTGCCATCAGGAGCACCGGAGTAAAATCGACGAGACATCGAGTCCGATTGCATGGATGGGTGCATACCCAGTTGGCTCGGATAGACAAGGCTAACGGGAGGGAGGTGGTGGTCCATTTGTAAACCGTTGGTTAGACCCGTCGGTGACCCGAGGCTAAAAGCGATTCCGGGAGGCGGTGGGGGCGGAGGAGGCTGATTCGGTGGCGGTAATTGGCCTATAAGAGAAATCGATGCAGGAAAGGAGTAAATTAAACCAGAATGGCGGCATCAACCAAAACAAAGGATGAAACGAGGACTTGTCTCGCATAGTGTGAAGAGGGTAATAGAAGGAAAATTTCTAAACACTGTAACTTCTCATGAACGCGTTCTGAAGAAGATGGGAGCGCAAGGCTATACCAGAATTTTTCATCCCTTAAAATAGCTAGTCGCAGGAGGTACATGAAGGTATGAGGAACGCATACCAGAACCTCTCCTCTTTGTATGCAATAAACGTTGGACTACTGAACGTTGCCGAGGAACGGCAAGAGTTGAAACGTGGGTCCACCATTACGAATTTGAAACTAAAGAGCAATATAAACGGCGGAAGCACCATAGCAATTCGAAGTTCAGATCAGTGCAGATAAAACCATAAACACAAAATCTATGGTGCTCATAGTATGCTTGTAACTGACTATATGCATACTAAATGATCATCCTCGGCGTCTATTACAATGAGTTGATTCAGTGATTGAGAATTCACATCAGAGAAAGATGTAGAGCAGCGTTGAGAGCCAATTCTGCACGAGAATGCGCGCTATCTAACACTGCAAAAATATCAAAAGACACTATCAGTGAATGTGACTTTCAGAAACCACCAAACATCCATCCTGCTCTCCATGTGAATCTCACCTGCTCTCAAAACGGAACTATACCTTCTTATAAGGCAAGTATCATATTCCAAACGGAGAACCTAGGAAGCGGCGAGGGTAGAGAGCTGGTTGACGACGCAAGGAACGCATTTCCGTTTGGATGGTACAGAACAACCGCGTCACCGATATGTAAAGTGTAGTAAAAGAGGGGATGATTATCAAGAGAAGAAGTAGTCTCTATCATGATTTTTGCTCGGCTCTATGTCTGGTTCGAAATTTAACGGTCATTTCTTATTATGTTGATCTGGGTCGAGATTGAGGTAGCCATCACAACTAAGTTCGTTAGAGTGTACATTTGACCTACCGAACCGAGCACAATATTCCTGGGGTAGCGTTTTGTAACAGAGGAGTCAGATTCAGCTGAGTCAAGAAGTCAACGGCATGCTTGCATTCGTTGCGCCATGGCTGTGACCATACTCCAGTTGAAGATTTTAACTATTGGCTCATTTGAATTATCCAGATGCTACATCAGATGATGCTCATTTTGATGGATCAATCTAACTGGATTCACTTCGCTTTGGTGTTGAACTGATCAGGTTGATGCCCAGGGTGAATAGCCCCTCAAGTGTGATGTGAACATTATGAGCGTAACGAACACACTGGAATTGGCTATAAAAAGTTATGCAGCATAAAGGTGAGGATGAATCCACCTAGTTACTGAGCTCAACTGTCAGATGTGCTGTAGGTTTTCGTAATAAACACTGAAACAGATGTGTGCAAAGCAAATCACATCCATTATTTATGTCCCCAGTGCAAACCTCACGGGAATAATTACTGAATGATGGAAAAATAAAGCGCTCTGTTGATAAAAAGAAAATCAGATGACGCAGAGGCTCGTGCCTAACTCCGTAACGACGACTTCAAATTGCGACCATGGCGCAATGTGTGCGAGTAACCAAAAGTGTATAGACAGGGCTGGACGAAAATAATGCAGAAACCGTAGGTATTTATAAAAATACAGTTATGATCCAACGAGTCGGTTGGGAAGAGGTGATGTGCCCTTTCGTGACCATATTTGAAGGAGTCGTCCAGCGCTGTCAATAGCTAGCGGTAAAGCAAAAAATTGTCGCAAAATCCCAGAATTATTCCCTACCAAAGGGATCATTATAGAGCAATTCACCTGTGAAGCGTCCATATGTAAGTCGACCAGGATCCGCCGCACTGTTCGGCTGCCCGTACGATGATGTGCTGAAATTCGGTTGTCCTGCGACGGGATCCGTGTCGGAATACATCGCAGAACCAGAAAATGAGTGATGTCGTTTTTGACTGGTCAGATCATTTTCAAACTGAGAAATGAGAACGAAAATGGATCGATCGATGAGTGGAAGTGGAACAGAGAGATAGCCTTGACTTCAAAGGAGCTCGTGCGGCAATGTAAACAAAATCGAGGTGGTTGTAGTAAACGAGTCATCTCAGCGGACAACATGCCTAGACTGGGTGACACGCGACCGCTGCCAGAAAAAACTAAGTCACCATGACAGATTGTGAGTCAGACCGAGAGAATAATAACGCACGTGTATGTATGGTAAGAGCACACAAAAAACACGAGTATCGACCGCGCATAAGTGTAAGCTGCTTCGCATGATGGACCAAAATCACCGCTGCACGGTCTGGAAGCGGGTCAGAACAAGTAACGATTTCATAGCATCTAGTGTTAAAAAAGACGGAGCGTTCTGAGATAGAACGGAACGCATATGCAACGGTAAGCACGAGCATGGATATGAAGGCCAAACGGCATCTTCCAATCTTATTCAGGCGACACTAATAAGGTATTGGTTACGCCGGACACGCCGCGGAGATGCCCAGGTGATCTAATCAGATGACACGGTGCTTAAACAGGCAGACAAGTCGATCACCACCACATCGTCATGAAAACGGGTAGATCACTTCTGAATTATCGGGTTGTATTCGGAGACATTGTAAAGCATTTGCTGAAGCGAGAAAAACGCAATGCTTCTCGGGCCGATAAATTGCAAGAATAATCAATTACACAAACGTTATGGCAAAAAGCAAGGAAAAACAGAACAGCACGGATATTGCACAGGGCCTATCGCGGTGATCCCAAGGAATTTAAGTATAAGTGTCTAAACGGTTAAAATTACTAGAGATCGATCGTAAAAGTGCACGAAAGTTGCGGGTTACTGCACCAATGGCAAGCGCCATAGAAATGATATTACGGAAAATGTTTTATGAGTCGCCGGGCAACATGATGGTAGATGAACCCAGTTTGGTATCCTCCAACTCGATGCCCGGGAGACAAGCGAACCAGCAGAGCTAAATATGTTTCATATATTGGAAAGTAGCGACAATGGAGCCAACATTGAGACTCTATGATGAATGCAAAATTACAAGGGGAGAAGTTCAACAGCTCAGATGCCAAGCACTGAGACACAGCTCACTAAAAACCAAATGGATACGTGCCATGTCATCGGATAACACGCAACCGTATAAAACGCAGTGACTCAGATGGGACGACGTGGAAACGAAAAAAAATCCCGCAACGGACATTGCCCCCGTTACACGGAACTCAATCGATGCGCGTATGTACAGAGAGTGAACTCACTAGTGCACGTTGCTCGTCCAAATGCGAGTTCTCAGACTGTTCAACAAACGATTGACCCTCGACGATAGCCTCAGCAGAGTCGTTTGTTGTGGTTCCTTCCGCGTTCCCATTGACCAAATCAGTCGGGTGGCGCTGTTGCTGTTTACGGCGCCTTCGACGATGGTGGCGGTGGCTACCAGGTGCCGCAGGGCTGCCACCGTTTCCTCCACTGCCCCCCTGTCCGTTTATTTCGGCGGTTTGCATACTCGAGTCTACGTAACCAGAAGCGCCATTGGATCGGAACTGGGGAGACAAAGGGTAACGGGTGAGACCACAGCGCACTAAAGTACATGTTGCCGAATAGAACGCCTGCGATCAGTTTCTCAGTTCGTTTAAACAATTCAAACAAGAAGGAATACGGTAGCGAAGTGAAAACGCAACAAATGCTCCACTGTGGTTGTTATTGGCAGGATACAATGTCTGTTGGAATGACAGTGGCGACAGCAGCAGTCAATTGGCACTCAGTGCACACGTCCTGTGTTTGATAGGGACAAGCTGCCAGCTCACACGGCACACACTTGGGAGAATGACTGATTTGCCAATGCGAGAATAAAAGCAAATAAACAGCACACAGTCCCAATCAGTAGGGTTTTACTGATAGCCAGAAAGAGAGGACACACCAGCAGATGGGTGACCCGATTAGAGGCCGCGTTCGATCGTGGTGATGGTATGTGTGTGTGTTGGGGTGGGGGGGGGGGGGGAAGGTGGCAACGCGTAAATCACTCAACGGTCGGAAGGTGTGCAAACAAACGTGAACATACAATCGCGGCACATGGGCAAAAATTGGTGCCAAATGGTGCAGTGCACGTACAGTTAGCGGCAAAATCGGTGATCAGCGAAAGTGCGAGCAGCTTCGGTGATGGAACTGCGAGGGAGGCTTCGGTTTAAATGGCATTAAGTATCACTTAGATCAACAAGCAAAATGGAGTGAAAGTAAGAAGTCCCCTTGGATTGTGACACAGTTCCAATCACACCGTGTCAAGCTGTGACGCGAATTCGAGCACTTCAGCAGTGCTGTCCAGGTGTAATGCCCAGTGTCAGTTACACAATGTGGACAGTCGAAGAATATTGAGGTTGAGGAAAACAGGTTCGATGGACTGGATGCAAACATCAAATTCCAAGTGTAAACAGAGGGGGGGGGGACAAAAATGACACCGGCAGTCCTATGGCTCGATGTTGAAGCCCTGCTTGATACAGACAAGCGGTAGAGCAAAGCGCGCACTCAGTTCACAAGGGGACTTCGCAACCACCGGCTGGTGTGTGAGTAATAATGCCAGCTTCACACTGGGTAGGCATGCGCAGTGATGTTGTGGGGTGGTGGTGGTGGTGGTAGCTGTAAAATGTGTTTACCTCGGTTTTGTTAGGGCGCTATTCGGAAGTGCCTCAACACCTACACCAACAGGAAATAGCATCACGCGTTGGGCACTGAGGTGCCCCACCCATAGTCCTCGATGCGCACAGAAATCGCACCACGTAACGCATGTGCAAAAGCTGGTGGTTAGAAGATGACCACAGAGCGAAAAATAGACCCGAAGTAATACGCAGCTTATAAGCGATATGCCATTGTGGCCGTACCGGTTTGAACAAGAGCTAGATATGGGAGTATACGCCCACCTGGTTTTCCTCCGGCAATGGATTCAGTGGCTGATGGGGGTTGGAGAGCGACATCTCCTGTTGGCTGAAATAAGAATAGATTGATTCTCCGTCAGTGGGTCCGAATCCATGGAGTCTAGAATGATGAACAAAGCGAAACATGGGGAGTGCATCAGAGTGACTTAAGTGTGCAGCATGGTTTGATAACTTTGAAATGGTTACTATGAGCAATAAGACACTAGTTCACATGATCTTATGGAAAGCAGGAAAAGTGATTTAGCCAGAACCCGAATGAGAATTCAGATGCGTCAAATGAAGAAGAGCAGGAGCACGGTTCACTAAGGCAATGCGACTAAATACCCCTGTCGAGATGAGGAACGGACCGCACAATGGAGAGATACATAACCTTGGAGGTCAAGGGAAATTTCATTCCTTTGCCAAATGCGCCGTAGATTCATGAAAGATAGTTCTGGTATTCGAAACGCGTGGACTAATTCACGCAGGTTACGGATCAACCAACGATCAGCCGCCTCTGGCTTCTTGTTGTCTGTAGTATTGCAATAGCAAAGTGTGCGCTTAGAAGGTAGTAAGAGAACGTCAAAAGAGTGAAGCCGCTCTGGGCAACTTGTCTATAGTTGACCGCAATTGCAGGACGGTAACACGATGCCTGGATCAACTAACTGGAGGATGACTTTAAGGCACTCGATGTGTGAACGGATTGTGACCGCGCAACCTGAAACTGGACCGCGATTCACTATGAAGTAAAGTTCAAGCAAGCCGGTCACCGGAACCGAATTGGCCGAACTCCCGTTCAAGAGGAATCGCAGTCCAGCCTTAAATTGCGCGTCACAATGCGTTTACACACAGGCAGTGCATCAAAACGACTCCTCCACTGCGTCAAAACTCGTCATGACAAGCGCTTCATGCCAGTCGCAACTCGGTGGCTTAGAGATAGACAGGCTTCGGTTGATATCCCAAATGTCCCGCAATCATGTTATCTTTAACTGAGCAGTGCAAATACCCACGAAACCAGTTGTGGGGTGCCGTGTTGCAAGTGGGAAACACCTAATATTCACATGTAGATCAAGAACGCAACACTTGCAACATGTGAGAGCTCACAGGACATTGCATGATGAAGCCTGGGCTGAAATTGTTTGCGAATTAGGAGATGACACAGCTCTGATGAGCTCCAACTGTAGAACAGTGCCCGGCGATTCGCTGCCAACCTGAACGCGAACAAATCTGTCAGAGTATGCAGCACGCGACAGGTACATAGAAAACACTGCAGTCAAATAGGTCGATGAGGAGGAAAGGATCGGCTGGATTGGACGTGTGCCGGAACCAGATGAACTCAGGTGCCGTTCGCCTTCGGTACCGCCGTGATGCCGCCGTAACGTCTGTTAAAGACTGGAAATGTGTTCGCAGTTCCGGTTTGAAATCAGTTTTTTCCACTATCCGCAGTTGCAGTTTCACAATAGGCCGGCATAGTGGGATTAAAGCCAGTAGAGACTTGCCACCATAAGTGTTGGGCTCACACGCTTGTGGTTGGCGAAGACGAGAATATTCATCTTAACGATCCACAGAACGCACTTGATTTTGTGACCAGCGTAGTCACTAGATGGTTATTGGACTCCTGATTTCCTGTGATCGTTGACGAGGACTATTTGAAGGAAATTGCGGCAGTTAACCTCTGGTTCTTGTTCCTTCATCACGCAAGAACATCTAAGCGATTAGGTCAACTCGCAAGCTCTGGCTTAGCGCGTTCCGAAAAGCCCATTTGGTCGCAACAGGCTATGAGGTAGTCGACCATACAATTTAGTAATCTTAAGATTTATCGATGTTTCGGATAACTAATGCCCGGTGCGATGGTTACTGAGTCTTCCGAGTACATATAGTAGTCCTGTGGTAGAGAGACTCGGTGTGCGAGGAATATGGATACCTTTAGAGGGTCTTAATTGGCTTTTTGTTGGCAGCTTCCCGGCTTTCAGACACAATGATATCCCACAAGGATTTGATGCAAAAGTAGGGTAAAACATAGTGCGAACCGAAGCACGATTATAACTGAGGCCGTGGTGTTTCAAAACGAACGGCAGTCAAGAATGGAACAACAGCATCATATAAAAAGACAGTGATGTTTAGAAATAGCTGAATGTTACAATAAACTGTCGTCGATGTTCGTGCGCTCTGAGGTAGGTTTAAACAGTTCCCCTTGCTGAGCTTATGAAGAGCTTAAAAGGCCTAACTGCGCTCTCATATCCGCAACAACGCGAGCCACATCCGAGTTGGCCGTACTGAGTTGTAGCGTGCACAGTTTGCAGCGGAAACCGATTTTGGCCACCGGTTGAAGTAGGAACAACAATCGAAATTAAACCATGTGGAGCAGATGGGATGAGAAGCCAAAGAGCAATGGGACAGTGACATCAAACTAGTGTGCAAGTTTGCTTTTTTCCTGTTTCAGATGAACGCCAGCCTATTTCTCCTGAGTTAAGTAGCGAAAATCACTCGTGATTCCAATGCTAACATAAAGGGTCAAAATAAACAGGCTTTTAAACAATTGGGATTTTTTTAGCGTTCACGTGGCATATCGGGTAGGTCAAGAAAGGATGCTGGCTCGCATGTTGTGCTTTGCTACAGAGTTGACGTGTGCTATCTCTGATAAATACGCCCGCAAGGAGTAGTGAAGTTGCAACTAGTCTCCGATTGCCCTGATCGGAGTCCATATAAAGCTGAAACGATGGATCATTGCAGCCGTGGCGACCAGTTTCATTAACTGCGTGAAGCCGATAACAGCAGTATAGATTTCCAGTGCAAGCGTTTATGCTACTTCATCGGGCGCACCACCCTCGCCCCAGCGAAAGGTCACTATGTATCCGGACTGATCATGATGTTACCACTTATAAGCGGTGAACCTTAAAGCGAGATTGATGACCCAGATAAAGCATGTCTTAATGTTCAATCGCTGCCTAGACTCAGCCGGGACGTGGGATTCACACTTTCGCGGACTGATGGAATCACCTGACACGAATCAGTGTCACCGATGACCATCTGTCAAAGAGGAAAGTGCCGGTTAGTGGCGGAGGAAAGAGACGCTATTAGAACGGTTAATGTCCACCATGAAACTCACCGTTCAAAAGATGCACATAGTTTTATGTGATTACGAATCGCTAGTGATGACAAGTCGATGTTTCTCTAAGGGATCGAATCACAGAGAGTAACATTAAACCGAGCATGGTTAGAGAATGTACTGTGCGTCACCAGGTATCACAGATACGGATTAGGTGATAAGGTCATTCGCCCTGATTTGAAGACCGCCCATGATGTAGCCAATCGTGTCTTTGTGGTGCTGGATAAAATGGAAGAGTGAATTAAGGGAACTTTCGGGGATATTTGGGCTCATAGGAAACGCTCCCCAGGATTCGACATATACCAAACCATTAGATAGAAATGATGTTAAATGACATGGTCGCTCTCTATAGCGACCCCACTACTGGGCGACCGATTGGAAAATGAAACAAAATTGGACCTGTCGGATTCAGCGTGTGTAGATACGTTTCTTAATGGACTGATGCTAATCGCTGCAACTGTTGACATGTGCTTCGGGCCATCTAGGTGCAGAACTATGCTAACGTGACGCTAGTTCACAGGATTACAGAAAGACAACTTGAAAAGGTAGATTGGTAGGTGGGTGGGACTGGCGAGGAGCCCAGCGAGTGTCAGAATTACGCGTCTGGATTTAAAGACTGCAAGCACCGGAGAATAAGGTGAGGTAGCGGCCAACTGGTCCAACGAAGTGCGAAACCACAGTCGTAGTGCGTCTGGCTTTATTGTGCGCATCAGAGACGACGTTGTTATGAAGCAAAGACAATACGGAAATGGACGTGTTTGATCACTGGAGCTTACAAATGTGTGGCACTGACCAGCTGGTATTGGAGGATGGAACTCCACACTGGAAATCCTAGGTATTAGTAGACCAGATTTCTCGCATATCCGAAATTCTCAAGCGACAGAATACCAAAGATTAGATCACGGTGGCGTACAGTTGGGTAGGATAGATCGCCCTAGTAATCGCGGCTGCATGCGACATAATGCGGTTTTTAACTGCCTGCTGATCAAGTCCGCCCGCCAGGTGGCACCTAATCTGATCGCTTCCATTTTGAGGAACAGAAACGCGGACATGAAAGGTTGCATGATCTCGTCGGTAAAAAGTGAGCCGCTACACTGCGTGCCAAGCAAATGTGCATGTAGGATGTAGTGCTTTAACTTAAAACACAACTGGCAGATATGAGTAGATGGAACCGAGTGAAACGTAACACGGCTACCAGGCCCAAAACGGAGTTCAAAGTCAACGGCGGTATTCTTGTTCCATAAGGTAAATGGGAAGCAGAAAACGTGAAGTTGGGTGCGGTGGATGCCAACCAACCACGTCGGAAACCGGACTAGGTATGACAGTAACCATTGTGCTTATTTGAGTACATTCATTCAGTTAATGAGCTTATGAATTCAAAATTATGCGACCATAATGGGGATGACTAGGAAAAATGAGCAAACGAGGGAGAAAACAAGATGATTCAGGAGACGTAGCAAATTCATCGGATGGTCGAAACAATAGTCTGAAGCTGGGAGTCGAACGCAGCGGCAGCAGCAGGAGAAGCACCAAGTACTCGAGTCATGTTACATGGGATGGAGTTCGTGGATCACACTCATGAGAAGGAGTTGTGCCAAGCAGACTCAAACGACCGAGCAGTTATTCATGCCTTTTTCGCGTTAGAGATCGGCCATCTCAGGGTTGCATCCAACTAAGCTCTGAAAAGTTGATAACCAACACAAGATGAAGTCGACGATCAATGGATATGCGAGGGACATAGCAGTGTTAGCGTAGGCGATTCGAGTGTGTTAGACGATGGGCTGTGGCACCGGGAAGACTGCAGCAAGAAGCTAAGTGATAGACCACCAGATACTGTCCATTTAGTGCTTGCATCAAATACGAGCACCAAGGTCCAAGGATGACTACTAGTCCGTTGCTTTTAACGTGTATCGGTCAAAAAGCTAGTGCACGCTGTGACATCAACCATACTGTGACGTGGTTTGCAAGGTTGACGACTCATTGTTCCAACGGTTGAAAAATCACGCGGTCCTCAGTGATGTACCTATTAAGCTCTCCGACGATAGAACCAATACAGGTACCATGATAAGCAAACCGTTGCGCTAACTCGAAATGATGTTCGTCTGTGCCAAGAAATGGCTGCGCGTTAACGTCGTACTGCATTAGTGTCCAGTAGGTATCGAGGACGCGAAATAACTGCAGATGAGCGCAGCGCTCAGAGCAGCTAATTACACCGCACATGTGTAGCGGTTTCATCCAAGCTAAGGAAAGCCAAGTCGTCCATGAGCTCTAAGCATGGAAGTCGGTCACCTGGTCGATGTTCCGATTTGGGAATAGCGGACAATAACGTTATTGGTGGTCTTCTCGTCCAAAGATCAGAGGAGGAAAGGGAGCTGCGGCCGATCTGACAACCCCATCTGACGTAAGTGGACAGTTTCCTACAGATGTCAACAGTGCCTCAGAAATGGCGGTGAAGATATCAGTATGGGAAGGAATATCCCTAGCATGTCCCTCCACACAGGCAGGTGCATTAAGTCGAGGTGGAAGTAGTCTTTAAGTCAAAGAGTATTCACTCGCGTGATGTTGTCCGAACATCCCGTGAGGTGTGGATCCTAATGATGTATTTTCTAACATATGCCATAAGCACGGCTAGTCGTTAATGATTCAAAAGCTAGCGAGATGCCACGGTATAGTGCGCGCGAGTAGTTTGGAGATAATGCTGTGATAAGAGTGCACACCAGCAGCGAACATTATGAGACATTTGAGACAGTTAGATCCCTTTATTAATCTGAATAAAGACCCAAGAAGACGGAAACTGGAGAATGTCAACATTTCGTATTGTTTCATCATGGCCAATAATAACATGACAATATATAAGACATACAGGGTGATAACGAAATAAATTAGGACAGGTTGGAGAACAGATGTGACACTCCTACGTAAAGCGTAACCTAAGGCTTACGAACAGCTGTTTCTGCTACACAGAGGCTTTGATGCGGCTAACCGCGACAGTCGGTAAAATGTTCAACTCGAGAATAAGGGAACATGAGCCTAAATGGTTACAGCGTGAAAGCACCCAGTTGTCGGTTGCTCATACCACCAGTTGAGGTAGGTCACCTGCTTTTTACTGGCTACCGGTCATCTGTTTGACACAGTCACAATGTCAAGATATGCAAACGCCCGCTTCCTATGTTTTGCTGAGGCATTCGTAATCAGCCGCATCGAATCCCCACTCTGTGTGGCAGAATCAGCTGCTCGTAAGCAATAGGTGACCCTGGGAGTAGGAGTGACACATCTGTCCTCCACGCTGCCCTGATTTGTTCCGTTATCACAATATCTGTGGTCTTATAAATTTTCCTGTCATCCTATTGGCAGTAATGAGACATTACGATATGTTAACACCGGCCAGTTTTCGTTTTCTTACGGATTTAATCAATCAGGTCTGGTAAGCCACCAATGGGACTACAAGTTCCCAGTATTTAAAAGGCGACGAGTCAGTTGAATAGGTAAGCATCATCAGCGCAGCGCTTGGTAAGTACGCTGCTTTAACTTTCGTTCGATTTACTGACAAAGGCTAATAGGGCGGTTGGTGGGGTACGTGTGCTACATCATCGCTGCCGTTGGTCTGTGTATGTGCCTGTATGTTTCTTTGATGCATTTCACGTATTGGCTGTTTCTCGATGTCCCCGATGTGGCTGCACTGGATGTGAATGTTCACAAGGTGGCTACCTATAGAAAAACCGCAACTCGATTAAACCGGGTCCTGGAGAGAGAGCTAGTGATTGCTTAAGGAGGCGGAGTGCACGTTCCTCGTGACTGTGCTAGATTCAAAGAATGGTCCCATCCAATGTGGAACGGGATACGGCGAAGCCAATGCTTTGTGTACGAATGGTACGCATGATTCACCAACTAGACAGACAGAAATGCTGCTGTGCATGTTGAAGGAATATGGGCCGACTCCGTTGATGAAACGTGACTTCTATTCACATGCCTCCCGGTCTTATTCCTCCGGCTTTACACTGGATATGAGGTATGTGAATGGAACTGTGGGTGGTGCGGCGCAATCCACTCAGGGTCTCTGAGTAGGTGCAGGCGTCCTGTGACGGTCACAGTGACAGGCGAATCCGGAAACGGATAGCGCCAAGCATATATTTACACAGGAATCTGGGCGCCCATCTAAGGTTAAAGTGATGGGACGATTTAAAACGGGAACAAAAGTGAAGCGGTTGCAGTTAACCGGTAATGAGGCAAAATTTATTTTAAGAGACGCAGAACTTCTCGTAGCACGCAAGTCAATGACTAGAATCTGGTTCGGTGGAACATGTGGATGCGGGGAATAAAGATTTAGCACCCCATATTGAATGAGAGGGTTCCAGCAAATTGTGAATCACTTACGTGTGCCCCATGCTATCAGGATGCGGTGGCGGCAACTGCTGCCCATAGTAACCTGGGTACTGTTGTTGTTGAACTGCCTGAGACGGGTGTTGATAGAACGAAGCAGTCTGTTGCTGTGACTGACGTGGAGAATACATGAGAGCGTGATTCACCTGCGGAGTTCCCATGCGGCCAGAGTATTGCTGCTGCATCATATGCAATGCTTGCTGACTGTCGTGGTAATAGGCGGCTGCAGCAGCAGCTTGACTTGCGGGAGACATGGCCCCGCCAGAGGCAATGCTGGGTGCTTGCGCATCGGTGTTCATAACAGACCCGGTCAATTGGGTGCGCTGAAGCATTGTGCCTGCGCGGGTTGATAAAGCAGGGGATAGATAAGCATTAAATGAATTGGGTGACATATTGAAGGAAAACTACAGAAATAACAAGCACCGAGGTTACAGAAAGCTTTAAGTTTCCGGAAAGTTGTCAGCTTGGAATGTCGATCTGGATATTAGAGATCCCAGGGTAATTAGTCACCACTGCGGAGCACATGAACCGGAGCGCTGAAACGGTGGATGCACAGAGCTGTTGCTACAGAACAGATAACTTTCAAGTCTATGCATAAAAGATATGACAACGTGCTTAGTGTAGTTTCTTGAGATGGAACAGACGCCGCATCGAATCACGGGGCTGAAGATTAGACGAACGGACCATAGCATTTTCAGTTAGATGGTATTACACCTTAAGACGCAAATTCAAGAATTGGAAAATATTTGTCATCTGCTTGATAAATTTCATTTCGAGAAAGTTCGGAAATTAACGATGAATGTATGGACAAAAAGGGGACGAATAAGGACAAAAAGGACTCGGAATAGAACAGACATCGGTGAAAGCACTGAAAAAAGTACAACAGAAAATGGAATACCAGCGCACCTAAGAACCGTGCGAAAAGAGAGTGTGGATCAAGGCATGCGGGCCAACGCGTGCATAGTATTTTAATGAGAGGGACTGTATCGAGATGCAGGTGAATCAAAGACTGGAAGCGGCGAATGCTGCCTATGGCGAAAACCCTGATATATATATATATATATATATATATATATATATATATATATATATATATATATTCAACATTTGACCAATAAAAGGCATCAACAGTACGCCGATACGCAGTACCAACGCTTCGCTGCCTTGCAACCACCACCAGTCGCACGTGGGCTAAGGATCTGTGAGGGTCGCCCTGCCCCTAGGCAGGCTCGAACCCGCGCCGCAAGATTACGAGGCAAGATGGTTACTTCTGGGCTACGCGTCGGGAAAGTGCCACAACACATGAGTAACAACGACGAAAAAGGGGCAGTGAGTGGAAGAGTTACGTGGGTTTATGTGTTGTGTGGACAGAGAGCTTCCTGGTTGCCCAGGCCGAGGAAGAGAGTTAACTCCACCCGGAGCCATCGATCTTAAAGAGCTGACCCACAACGCAGCGGAGCGATTAATGTAGGTCCTTGGAGGATACATTCGGCTGCAGAATACGTTGACAGTCATTTAGGTCATTCGCCCTCTTAGTGCTCGGTAGCAGTACACACAGAACACAGTGGCCTGCAAGTTTGTTCATTCGCCCTCCGTTAGGTACTCAGCTCAGATTACAGGAATGAGTGATCAGCGACCCTATAGTCGGCCACACAGCGCCGTAGTATATCTTGTGATATTTGATGGAGAACCAGGTGACCAGCGCAGAACTCTCTATGCTCTGAGACGCTGCTGTTGATTGTCCGCGACTGCTTATTCATCTCACCTACAAAGCATAGGGGACTTATTCGCAGTAACATCCATAAGAAAGGCATTACCCCAATCGGCAACCTGGGGACGCGACCGATAGCTTACGGCTCCGGAGGCTGAAAGGGTTAGCGATGCCAACAGGGAATTGTGGGCGTCGCATTGTCAGGAGGAATGTCATACCCAGCTGAGCCACTGTTTTCATTAAGTGAACAGGTCACACAAAGTAAGTGACGCAAATGTCGTAGACTGAACACCGCGGTCTACTGGGATTAGCAGGATTGTGGATATGAAATCAAACACGATTATAAGGTTATCCACGTGTTATCGCCCAAAGCAGTGTTACATCAGGTGGCACGAACCACCGCGGAGTAGACAGTATGGCCGGAGGAAGCGTTTCGTCCAGTGCCGATCGTGGCATGCAAACTGTCCGGAGAAAAGTGCACTAGTGATGGGTTGCAGATGCAAGGACAGTACTGTGAGAATCTGGTGTGTGTGAATAGACAACGACAATAGATTTCAATATGGACAACGATGTGCTTTGAAATCAACCTAATGGTGCCACCCGCAACTGTGTGATTCAGTGTCCGAGCCTCAGCCCACCTGTCACTATGTGAAAGGGCTCAAATAGGAACAAAATCGCTGGTGGGACTGTAGCCTACGAATCACCATCAGATGTTCACACAGCCAATATTGACTGACCTTAGGTTTGCGCGCGAAGGTCCGTCTATCGCTTACCCACTCAATGACGAGTTGTTCTCAACTATATGAACGATGCGCTGTACATGGTCATAATACACAGTGCGTGCTATGAGCTCGGCATATAGGGTTGTGCCTTTGCGTCATTTCGACTGTCAGCTAGTATTGCGTTCGCAAACTTTGCGTTACTTCTGCACGCGTCGATGTTAACAGTGGCGCAGCATTGGGAATAGGTCTTAAAGAAAATGCTTCTATTTTAGATAGAAGTTAAATGATTCAAATAACCTGGGTTGGCTCTCAGGTAAACAGCGCTCCAAATTGGAGATACGGGTCGCAGGATGAAACCGTGTTGTGGGATCCTAATCGCTGTAACATACCCTGCTCATGCGGTCTGGTAACCTAGTGAGCAATGCGTCAGCAGGCAAGCATCGGCTATTTGCAGAGAGTCGGAAAAAGAACGGAATTCGTCATTAAGTACAAGGTGGGAAACGAGTAACAAGGAAAAGCTTGCTACCACAAGGTCACCTACTGCAGCGACCTCAAAGTGGACGTTAGGCGTTTGTGCAGTATGAGTGCGAACCAGGGCGAGCAGATTATGCAGTAGGCTCTCATTTGTTTCCTACAAATGGGAGAAGAAAGAATGAGACATCAGCAGTACGTCAGCATACCGAACCGACACTTCGCTGCAACGCGACCACCACCAGTCGCGACAGGGCTGGGCATACTTCAAGGTCATCTGTAGCTACGCGGATAAGAACCTGTGACCTCCTGACTGGAAGGCAGACGCCTAATAATTTCGCTCACCGGTCGACCGGCCTACAAACGGAGAAGGTCGAGTGTAATACAAAAACAAGCGAAAATAGCAACCGATCAAGCCGTTTACACAGGTACCGTTAAGTGTTGTTCCGATCAACGGTAGCACTAAAAGGCTCATCCATAAACGGTCTCGCAATCTGTGGCCAAGCACACGTGCAAAATGATATGCCGCGGACTGAGGCACGAAATCTGCAGAGAACCGGAGTATCGAGGTTGTACGAAAAATGACCTAACCGGTAAAATTTTCCAGTCAGAATTGAAGAGGTGTAGGGTGTTCGTGACAGCAATTCACTCTATTAGAAGGGCAGATTAACAGACGAGTAAATTCGAACCGATGGTTGTGAAGGATGGCTACTATGCTGACACGTCTAGATGATGTCTTGGGAATTGAAATCATCCAGAGATCATCACACATGTCGCAGAATTGTGTCAAAAAGGAGACAATGGCTTAACCGAGGAGATAAATGGTACAAAAGACTGGAGTGTAAAGCAGAATCATCAAAATGGAGGATGGGATGAGCGGTGGATATCAGCAGTAAGTCGGTACTGCGTACCGATGCTACGCTGCCGCTCAACCAGCAAAAATCGTGCGTAGGCAACGGATACTGTGGAGGTCGTCTTGTCCCCTACGCAAGATCGGACCCGCGCCCTCGGATTACAATGCAGGCTTGTGATTCATTAGGCCATGAGCGGTATTTTGCAATGCATTCCATAGGCATGGTGTACTAGAAAAAGAGAGAACAACGAGCTGTGCTATTGTGTCTCCAAAAGCTGCTAACACACTAGATGCGAGAGTCATGGAAGCTCTGAGTTGAAGATGGCTAGCCAATAGAGCGAGGGTCTAAGAAGGCAAGCCCGTAAAAGCAAATTGCTCACGTGCAAACGAATTCAAGTAACAGTCTTCCCAGTAACCGTTTAAGACGTAGAACGCTGATGTGGTTTACATTACAGATAATGTGCTGCTAACGATGAGCATTCGACTAGATGTTTGATAGGGCAATCATACTTGTACGTAGCCTGAGATACTACCATGACACCTAGACCTGGAGAAGAGAACGATTAGGGTTGTTAACCATGGCCTTTGGCTCAGAATCTCGTCCGCAAAGCGGCGGGGAGATGATACTTGTCCGGTTTCAAACATATGTTTCTAATCGAAGCCTGGAGGGTAAATAGACCGAATTTACTTGCTTTTTACCGTTTGATCAATCTGGTGCGAGTAGCTGTCAAGCAGCGTGAGAGCAGCACCCAGTATAGTTTGATGGGTCTTAGAGGTCACACAAGCGGTCGCAACACATTAACACCAATTCTGATCACGACGGCTGTGCGCAGCGCACAACTTCTGCATCATCAGCACGATTTTCGCGAACAAGCGCTTACATCGTCTTGCATCTAAAAACAGCAGCGATGATCGAAGGTGGTGGCACTCACAGTGTCGAGCGTCAGCCGGGTCCGCTGCTGAGATACAAGTGCGAGTAACCAGCTGATTCCACATTGTGGTGCGGTGTATGCGGTTGACCTCAAATCCACCAGCGATTTTCGAGTAATCTGAACTAGTATATTCAGTTGTGTACCATGCATTTAATCATTCAACAAGCCAAAATTCAAGTGAGGCGTGACGGTGCGGGACATGAAAAAAGGCTTGGAAATTCAGGCCGAAGATGTCAAGAAGATGATTCGAGAGCAGTGGTCTGAAGGTGAGTTGTGCATATATGGTTCTATGGTCTAGATGAACACCTCTCCGGAGACATGGATGTCGCAAGTCGAGAGTAGACGGTGCCACGGAACACGGTCGAATACCCCTGAAAAACTTGGAACATTTAATCGAAGTCAAACGAAGACAATCAAATAGTATTAATATTAATACAACAGAACGTGACTGTTCTTGGACAACATGAAGAGTAACGCTGACTATAAAATACGGTGTGGTCCATTGATGTTGTTAGACATTATCATGAGCACTTAAAAGGTAAACACAGCGAATCACCGTAATTACTTACCGTAAGCGGTGTCTTGCAAGGAGCCACCGGTAGGAGGCTCGCGTTTCATTGATACACCGTCGGATGTCACGGAACCAGGATAATAAATCATTTGTTGGTGCATGGCTCCACTATTGACTCCCGCATGGGGAGGAGGCAATTCAGCGGTTTGTGGATGCTAAAGATAAGGAAAAAGAGTGAGATAAATCGCATGGGAGGTGGATAAAAAATGGGTAGATCGATTGGTAGATCGTGAAATGGGGGGGGGGGGGCTTACCGGTACTGGTGGCAACTGTGGTTGCTGGTGAGCATACACGCCAGATTGCATCTGAGGAGGGTGATGGTGATAAAACTCGTTCACATCGAGTGAATTGACCGGTGAGGCAGTTTGATTAAGCGGCTGCTGGCTACCAAACTGATGCGCTGGATAGCCTTGTTGCTTGAGATAACGCGGGCCACCAGGAAGTGTTCCGGATTGGAACATGTTTCCTGGCGTGATCTGTGGTCCACCATTACCGGTCATCGCACTGGAGGGCAAGAGTAGAGAATGGTGTGACTGGTGGTGTTGAGGATGATAGGTCATTGGATGCTGTTGCTGCTGCTGCTGTGGAGAGGACATGTTGCTAAGTTGCTGTTGCAGATGCAGTTGGGATCCAAGAACGGATTGGTGCTGTTGCATGTACATCATCTCTTTCGATGCGGCAGCCGCGGTGGCTGCAGCATAGTGGTCTGCCTGCTGCTGCTGCTGCTGCTGCTGAAGATACAACGCTTGCTGCTGCTGTTGCGGTGACATGGAGTTGGGCAATTGACCATGTTGCGCAGAGTGGTCCGAAAAGGCGCTGGATTGCAGATTGCTCATCATCATCAGCATACCGGTAGCTGGACCGCGATTAGACATCGTGCCGGCATTCGAATGACCTGTACTGCAGGCGGCAGCGACACCACCGTCGGTGGTTGAAACTGGGACGTATTGATTGGAATCTTTGTAGTTTTGCACATAGCCATCTGCACACAAAGAGAAGTGACAAAACTAACGCCTGGATTGAGACCATGAGTCCGAAACACATGAGGGGTTGATGAAATGAGAAAGCGTCGTTTATTGTGAACCAAGTGTGAAAAGCCGAAAACTGGGATGATACAGGATACTGCTCATAACGGAGAGTGTTTATGACAAGCCAACCGATGCGACATCGAAAGGTAGGCATCAGAAACACGCCCATAGCTTGCATGGATGCTTCGCTGCAACGAAACCACGGACAGTCGCGTGCTGGTTAGGCCTACCGTAAGGCAACGAGCAAGTACACAGGTTCGAGTCAATAACCGGTGAGCCGACTAACCGGTAGTCTAAACGAACATACACGTGAGGCGGAGCGGAACATATGCGCTCCCATCCTGGAAAGGTGTGTTCGTAAGCGCCAGCTACCGCCATACTTCTGGGGTACCCACTGTGATGGTAGCCGGGCGCTTGGATGAACGTGGCCGACGCGGTGCAGGCACGTGAGAGGTCAAGCAGAGGCCTCCCACGAAAACTGACGACGATCGCACGAACCAGATGGAGAAAACAGTATCTACTGGGTTTATAGCAAATCTGGAAGATCTCGAATGCAAATCGCCTTTGTTAAAACTTTATTGTGGCTCTTGATGCAAAGCTTCATTAAGCTAGGTCAGGGGTGTCAAAAGTCCGGCCCGCAGCCTCATCATGAAATGATAAATTCAGGCTTAGATTTTTTTTTCGTACATGTGTACCCTTTTGTTATTATCTTAATGTCAGAGTGAATATGGACTGACATATTTTTACCGCACAAACTGTGGCCCCCCTTACAAAAAGTTTGGACATCCCTGAGCTAGATGAAACATGGGCATTCAAAATCTTCCGGAGATATGAACTCCGACCTGGTTCCCGGACTATTTTGAGATATTGAAGCGCATTTCGATTGCAAACAAGGGAATGAAATGGCCTGGACAGTAACAAACGAGAAGCACGCGGAAGAACCTAGACAGATGACACAAGGTGTGGTGGGAGCTGGTCAACCGAGTGAAAGGAGGTCACAAGTCAATTGTGAAGGGAAAGCGAATCAAGTACCGGCAAAGCGACGCGACCGAAATGACAGGCCAGAAGGACAGCGGAGAATTGGTGCGGGCAGGTATGAGTCAAGTTCAACGTGGCCACAGACATGGCAGGAGTTGGCCGGACCATGTACAACGGGTGAACAGCGAGTGCGGATCAATGAGCACGGGCCGACGGCACAAGTTGAGGGGGTTGGAGACAACCAGTGAAAAGCCGTTGTGATCAAACAGTGCTTCCAAATTTTTGTACAGTGCAATGGTACTCAGGTTAAGTGCAGCCCAGATTTGTCTTGATTTTCGGAGGGCTACACACACCATACTGTCAACCCATTCCGAAGGGCTTAACCAGCTACATTCATAGTTGTGTTGATGACATCGGAAACAAGATTGAATTAGTGCATGAAATCAGCCGTAACATCAGGAATAACCGGTTTGAGAGATAGGGTGGATTCGGACACCATTGGCTTTTTAAGGTCCAGGTGGTATCCCCTGTTAGCTGAACCACTCCGCACGCGGAATGGGACGAAACCTGGACAACATCAATCCGCCCAATTCACATAATGTTAGCGCCACTGTATTACTCTACAGACAAGCGATTAACTAGGTATGGGGTAGAAGTAATGCACTGGAGTGACTAGCCATTGGGGACAACGGTCACTTCAAACAAGATTCGTACAAATGGAATTCGCCGGAACCCGTTCTAGCTACCAAGCTTACCAGCGAAGGTAAGGGAAAACGGGTAATGGTCAATACGAATCGGTAAGCTGGTAAATATGGTGGATTAAAGCCCGCCTTCGTGAGGGAGCAAATAGAATCCACGTCCGCAGTTACAATGGTCGCGATTGTGAAGTGACAAATTACCCGCAGTGCGTGAGTGCCTGTGTTTGACCTAATGCTATTCGACTTGGAGACCAAAGGATAGGATAAACATCATAATTGCATTCACCCCAGTAAATATAATAGTCGAATTGATAAAATTTAGATGAAAAGTTGTCAGTGAGGAGAGCGCCGTTTATAGATTGGATATACAAAACGTTATAGAATCTAATGAGACGGTAGTTTGAAAAATGAATGACTCCCAGCTGATGAAATGAGTCAGAGTAGGGGGAAAACCAGAGTGGTTCTACCAAAAGTACACGTCAGGTGATTAACAAGATCGAACTGTGGATGCACAAAGTGCCCATATGCAGAAAAGGAGGAAAAAACCAACATTACATCAGCATATAAGACAGATACTATGATGCCGATCAAACACAATGACCTAAAGAATGAAAACAAGGAGAAAAGGGGGATTTAGAGTAAAACCTCAATACCCCAAAACAAACATTCAGGATAAAGGCGCCTACCTCGTATCAACAACCTGGTGTCACAAACAAATGCCTAACTTGCAAAGATAAGGCGGCATCGGCGAGAAAGCATCCTTGCGGCTTTCACTGCCCCAGGTCATAGTTGGCGGCATCCGGTTTCCGATTTGCCTGTCACTGCGGCCATCATAGGACAGCTACAGGACGCATGCTCCTACTCAGGCACCATGGGTGGCTTACGCTGCAGCACGCACACACCCCATATCCAGTGTAAACCCGAAGGAATAAGACCTGGAGGCATGTGGATGGGAGCCACAAGCAGTTTGAAAGCGTTCATACCTATTTGGGAAATCATGTGTACTAGGCGTGCACAAGGTGGAGGCTGGGTGTAACCCGTTTCACACCGGATGCATGGAACCACTCTTTGAGCGTAGTGCGGCCTTGAGACCGTGCAATGATCAAATGTCACCTAGTGCCCGTATAGACAAAGTGGTACGTAACAGACAAGTAGGCAGCTTGACATCATTCACATCAAGCGCAGCCACATCGGGGATGTCAAACAACAATTAATCCCTGAAATGTGTGAACTGACTTCAGTTGTAATGTGCCTATCGTTGCCCGTGCAACTGCAAAGGCAAGTGAATTGATCAACTACTTCGAGTTCCTCTCCAGCGAGGATCAAGGAGTCATCAAGCGGCTGGTGGTCCTGTAACAACACATTGTATTCTGAAGGTGTGAAGCGCGTGCCAAATGATGAGACCGTTTTAGAGCAACTATTCAGGACAATATCGTCCGCATAATCAAGATCAACTAACCTTTCACCAGGCAGAACGTCAACGTCTGCACCATGAGACTCCGCAAGGGAACATTCCACGATAGAGTCCACGACGAAAATGAACAAAATGGGGAAATTGGGCAACCCTGACTAACGCCCCTTTTTGTCGGAATGATATCCGACAAGTCCCGGTAGATCCTGAAGCCGCTTGCGACGTTCGACTACAAGGTACGTAAAATGTTCACATATATCATGAGAACACCCTTCCGCGCAAGCATTTCGAACACGACTGAGAACAACACACTCTAGAAATCGAGGAACACGGCTATTGCCGGCCTGTGGCCCTAGCCTAGCACCTGCCTCTACCTCCCGGGCGAAAGCCTGCCTGCTCTCCGCTAGTCCGAGATTCCCGTTCCGTAGTGAGGCGAGGATCAAGAAATGACGCCAGTGATTTTGTCACAATTGGCGCTAGGCTAACACCTCTGTGGTTAGCAGCCGGTACGACCGCCATTCGTGTATATTGCAACCGTAATCGATTCGCTCCCGTTAGTTGGGATGACCTCTTCCTTCCAGACTTTTTCAGACAGGGAGATCAGCGCTTTGCAGAGGACCTCACCTTGACCCTCAAATAGTGTGAGTGCAAGGGAATCCAGGCTAGTAGCTCGAAAGGAACGTCAGACTCCGATGGAGCCTCCAAACTAACCGAGCATGACTCAGCCTGTGCCACCTGAGTAGGAAGTGGTCCGGGAGCAAGGGGCCAACTGAAATGCACTCAAAGAAGAATACGGCGTCGCTTATTGTGAAGCACGGCACTCGCACCGTTTCTGATTATCTGGCAGACACCTGGTTTCCTGGGACCAGTGGTGCGGATAAGTTGGAAGAGCTTGCGATAGTTGCTTAATGCTCCGGCCTCCTCTAGTTCTTGAACCATACCGGTCCACCAGGTTTCCGTGTCAGCACGCAGGCTCCTGTTTAATTCGCGGCTAATAGTCCATCTGGTTACATCTGGCTCAGAACTAGTAGGGAGTTTGCTGTTGGATTCCATCAGGTTCACCGACCTCTCAGATATCCAGAGAAGGTTGTGGTGACGACTGATAGCGTCGCAAGCAGATGCTCTTGGTTCGTGCATGGCGGCGGAGATCCTATTATAATGAATCTTATTGCAATTAAGAAGACAGAGCGAAAGTTAGGTACGCAGAACATCCTGGAAGGAGGCGCTTCCTGCATCTTCCAGTATATTTCATGGAAAACCGACAACGTAGTAAGGCAGGATTAGAGCCGACCTAGGTATTCGAGAACGAGTGATAGTCTAGAATGGACGGGATGTCCACTGGACGTGAGGGCTAGGTGGTTAGTAGAGGCCAAGTTGGGCAATTCGTGAGAGCAACGGCAACAGTCGCGAAGCGCAGCCATGCGATTCGAGCAGGCGACTAGTACTTGGGCGCCAGAAAGTGGAGCACGTTTCCGCAACCCGCACGACCACAATGACAACAACAAACACAGAAAAAGGGACAATTATCGTTTGCTGTTTGTTTCCTAGTTGTAATCCACAGTTGGTTTCGCTTTGCTTCGGACCGTCAAGGTGGACAGATGGGTGGATAGTCGGAGCCCGATTGACGTATCTGCCAAGCTTAGTACATCACGCATTTGGAACATCATCATCAATACACGATAACAGAGAGTGAGAAACACCACAGCAATATACACAGAAGAGAGATTAAACATAGCAGACTACAAATGCTAAAAAAGTGACATAATGCTAAAGGCATATTATGCATTGGGTTTAGATCGTTGTTGGAAAGGGAAGCTAAAGGATAGGGGGGCACATAGAAACTCACAACACGAACGCCATTGAGGTCGGCTTTTCGCCTTGTCCAATAATGTATCCAAATAAATGTGTTCATCGTCATTCGGATCCCAGTCAGGCAATCGGGAAACACCAACCGACGACAAGTTCGAAGTAAGGGACTTCATTCCTCTTGACCGGGTCATCGCTTGGCGTCTCTTCTTCTTCCATCCACACCCCGGGCGAGCAAACAACGCACGTCGCGGGAGTCGGTGGGCTGGCATGCACAACACGGGACCCAGCCACCAGAGTCTGGTGTGTGATATAATGGTGCTGAGCGGATCACTCGCTCTTCCTGCACTAAATACGCGACGCCGGACACATGAATTCCTCACGCGGTGTTCACACCAGACAAGAGCTAAGCTTCGAAGGCAGTGATGGTCGAACGTATCGAGCCACTTTATGTCCGCTAATCTAATGGGCCTGGTTTCGCAACCGTACAGGAAGATTAAACGGACGACTGCATTGTAAACTCAGTCTTTCAAAGCGAGAGTTATGTCACACCGGCGCAAAAGCATCCCGAGCTTTCGCTATACGGTTCATAACCTCATCTTCAATCCCACGGGCACTAATATAGAAGTCCATAAACAGTGACTAGAAATTCACTTTCGGGTATTCGGACTACCCAGTGAGAGCACGCACCACTATACGGAAAATGCCCCTACACCGAGCGTGTTCACAGTGATCGAGATGACAGTGATCTGCACTGCGGGGAGATTTACACAGCAGACAGATAAAGTGACCTTGTAAGAAACAAAGTATGATACAAGACAGTTTAATAGTTTATCTTGAAAGCTAGTCCCTGTCGCCGCGTATACGAAAATATGCTGGGAAGTGAAATAGAGGGAAAAGAAAGAGGAAACTCACTTTGTTTCTTCCGTTGGCTGGACAAGCGCCGGTCACGTTGCTGACGGCAAAGACAGAGCAAGATGAAGATGAATATGATGAAGAACATGAGAGCTGCGATTCCACCCACGAGCAAGTACATGATCCGGTTGGTTGTGAGTGCTCTGAGTAAGCTGTATCCATCACCCGTGTGATCAGCCGTCTGCGTCCGATGGGGGGCATGGGAAAGGGGGAAAACAAGGTGGTTGAACTTTGAAGAATCATGAACTTTATGAGTGGGTGGTAGCATTAAGGTAGGTTGCAAAACGATATATGGAAGAGCATAAACAAGGTTAAGAAAATCAAAATTGAGTGCGCTGGAAGAGGAAGGACGTATGGAAAACGAGAAATCGATTGGTCATTCGTTGGAACATGATAAAAACTGAGCTAGCGGGTAAAGTCAGTGGAAGTAGGTTTAAGATTTGATTCAGTTCATTAGAGATGAGATGATAGGCAGAAGGCAGACATAATTGCACACAGTATGCAAACGTCTACCGATATCAGCACTTGAACGTGAGCTTCACATGCCTCAGTCAGTGAGGGGAAAACGATCGTCAGAAAAAACAAGCAGCATATGAACGTTGGCGGTATGAAATGCAAATGGGTTGATACACCATAGTATAAAATGAAAAACTCCATGCACAGTGCAAACGAATCTTGCTCACGATCACCCAGTGGTCGTAACAAGCTGACATTAGTCCGTCGAAGAATGGCATCCATGCTAACTAACCACCGATTGCGCTCGCGCATAGGATGGTCTTGTCATCAACCAACTGACAAAGTCATCGGTTTATGTGCAATCAGTGGACCCAGCAGTGGACAATTCAAGGTGATAAAAAAGAGAAATGTACAATGCGCCCAGTTCGCCTCCCTTTGCTGCCCGTACGTATCTATAAAAGGACACACTTTCAGCTTCATTCACCGGCTACCCGTATCTCGGGATCGGAAGGGGCCATCGCCTCGTCATCACGCAGTGTCCACAAGTAGTGTAGAGAGGATGGCGGAACGATAAACATCAAACGTCAATGCGGAACAGCCCATGCTCATGGGTGATGCAGGAATCGTGAAACAAACTTCCCACGGCACGTTGAATGGGGCCGCCAGGAAAACGGACAGCAAATTAAGAGAAAATAGCCGACTGTAGTTTCGCATAAAATCGTTTCGCCGTTCGCACGTACATACATACACACGTACACAAAGCGTTGTGCTGGAAAGAATGAAGGGATCAGGGGGGTTGGACGCAAGTAAAAACCAAAAAATTGTTCCAAAGTCCAGGAAGCCTGATCGACAAGCGTTTGATGTGTTCGGTGGGACGAGAGTTACACACTGACGATGCAGTAATAAAATCGCGATAGACGAACAAAGGTTAATGGGTACGCAAACATGGAATGGTAGCACCAAGGAAATACCTTGCGAGGCTGGACACGGAACTAAGGGAAATTGAAAAAATGGGATGTTTGTTGGATGGTCAAAATTCACTTCAGGTTTACATATGTGGAACGGATACTGATTGATCTTATACATGCAAGTGCAATGGAGAACAAGACAGACATTTGTAACCGTAGTGTATCAGCCTCGTGTCGAGGCCATAAATGGTATAGATTAGTAAAAGCAACCCGAGACTTGGAGACGCACAAAGGGGCCTCATTCGTTAGAAAGTTGGTAATTATGCAGCTGCCGAGGTAAACGGACTTGTCCACCACTTCCAAAGGAGAATTTGAAATGGTGTGAAGAGCAGCCCCTAACCAGTTCTGCAGAAAGACCTTACATTTTGATGGAGCGAAAGTCATTCCGAACTGGAGATGTGTCGCAAAAGGCGTTTCAGCTAAACTCACAATGAAAAGGGCAAATAATTATCGAGCACCGCATACTCATATAGTGCAACTGTGTCCCAGTCAACCTAAAAACAGTAGCTGCGTCGTAGATCATCATGATCATTATACACGTTAGATTGAGGTGGCAAACACCTCAGCTATTGTGCCGCAATACAAAAGAAAAAAAATGAGACAGAGGCACGCCGGCTGAGTCGCCGTTAACGGATGGACATCGTTCAGGATAGCTAACAGCCAGTTATTGTGCCACAAGATGGAGTTGGATTAGGCCTAAAGAATGAGATCGGAGTTGGAGGGGAGGCTATTGGGAGGAGGAGGAGGGACAAAGAAACACACAACATAAACTCTCTTTAGGTAGGCTTCTAGCCATGTCAAAAAATGTATCCAGCCAAACGTGTTCATCGTGCTTCGGCCCCCTACTGAGGCTCCAACCGAGGCCAACTTCGAAGTGGGGGCCTTCATTCTTCTCGACCAAGTCATGGCTTGGCCACCCCCTCCTCTTGTTAAATCCGCACCCCGGCGCGCACACAATGCACGTCGCGGGAGTCGGTAGGCTGGCTGGGTCGTAGAACTTCCGTTCAGGCCTGATGGTTCCCCGGCAGGCTCAACATAGCCGACACCGGCAACCCATTCGGTAAACACTTCGATGCATAAGTGGGATCCTGCAAGGCTCCCTTGAAATCTGAAATAATGAAGTGGAGTGCGACACCAGCATAGCTGGTTGCATTGGAGAATCGTGGGGCTCGCTAGGCAGTGTTCATTTTCATTTTCGATGGATACGAAGAAAGAGTGACTAGAGTCGTGATTGGAATCCTAAGCATCAGCAGTAAGCCAGTGTGTCGTACGGACGATTCGTTGGCACGCAACCACCACTGGTCACGCGTGGGCTGGGTGGACTGTGAGGTCGTCCGCACCCAATGCGGATTGGACTCCTTGTCACAAGTGGGCAAGTCTGAAGACTGCCCGTGTTCAATCCATCCCATCCGGGGAAAACATTGGTAGGTGACGTCGTGTTAATCGCATGCATACGACAAAGGCATGTCATTGTTAAACAGTAGTACGCCGCCACCCATTAATGCATACATTGAGGAATCAATACAACGTACAGAAAATAATCCACACGATTAAATCGTGTCTGTACGCCGCAGGGCAGATTGACAAAGTACTCGGAGTGGGGAAACAATGCGCTAGGGATGTCGACTGTCAAACTAAAAAGCGACGGCATACCGCTCGAAAGACCCACCTAACTTCGGCACACAGTCGTTAGAGAGTGGAGTAAAACCCGAGGATGACTGTGAGATAAAAGAAAGAATAAAAACATAGCCCGCAATTACTGCGTAGGTAGGGAATACAACAAAAGTGTAATGAAGACGCTACACAACAAACTAACGGTGGGGTTAAGTGCTTGGACAGAGAAGGAGAAGACATCAGGCGCCAGTGAGCACTGAGACAGGATTGTCAGGGTCATAATTAACGGGCAGCGAATACTGAGCTTACGCCAGCAAAAAAGATAATGATGCCTTTATGGGTACAAGTAAGCAGGACATATCCGGGCCGGATTGGATGACAAAAATGGTGTAGGGCTTTAGCAGCAACGAAATGCGCAGTCCAGAGCTGAGATACCTTCCCCGATTCCCGTTACTCCCGTTACTCGGCGAAACACACCTCGCGGCTAAACCAACACGTGTGGGCCGGTTGTAGATACAAACTGAGACGGAGCTAGTTATCTTTGCCGTCAACCTTCATATTCTGTTTACTCAAGTATTCGTACTTTCAGCCATGCTAAAAAATGTGAGTTTGAAAAGAGACCATGTGTGCACATATATCCATCGTCATATGTTTTATCCGACCACACCACCACACTGGCTCTCATGTCAACAGAACAGCTGATAAGAAGCTAGCCGGTTCTGCTTCATACATCATCGTTACTACTCACTTTTCCATTTTTATTTCCGCTCGTCTACGCTTCATTATCATCTTGCTACACAGCTCCGCCCCATGATGTATGGCATATCACTTGCTGTGGAAAATGATAGACTTAAAGCAAAAAAAATGAGTCGGAGAACCATCCCTGATATGTCTCCTATTTGCACGTAACATTCAGATCATCTAGAGGATATCTCGATGACATTTAACTGTAAAAATTTGATCAAGCCGGAATAGTCGTGTCCCATGAAACCGGGAATGTGCATTATCAGTGTTATCATTGTTATTAAAAAGCGGATCAATATTAGAGTAGTGATAGGTAAAACTACTCACCGCCAAGTTGACATAAGCAGCCTTGGAGAAACGGGTGATTCGTCGTTTGTCACCGAGACCACGCACACCATAAACAATCACCTGGTAACTGGCAGATCGATTCAGTCCAGTAAGCATACCCTCCTGTCAGTGAGAGATAAAGTCGGGGAGAGGGGATATCATGGATCAGAAAAGTAGGACAGCAAACAAGGTTGCATGAAAGGTTTGTGTATTGAAAACACAGGAGGCAAATCGAAACAGGCTCACGAGGAATAGGATGGGTGATCACTGCAAGGCGAGTGGAATCGACCAAGGGACGCTCCCCAGTCAATAAGTTTTAACAATATGGTTCTCAAGTCAACCACCACCTAGTCTGTCAGCAAGGTATTAGTCTTCGTGAGAGAGAAACATGGAATCATGCAAATGGCGCTATCAATACACATTAAGGTATAGTATCAGGTAGTAAGCCAATTTTTCTCACGGCCTATGGTAGTTCGGAACTCAGTCTGCCGCTCATAGTTGTTAAACCAGGGATATGCAGACAAAACAGGCGGGGAAGAATAACAAAATAAATGAAGAAAAACGGAATATGACTATGCGGACATGCAAAAATGTCCGGGTATGTGATTTTGTCACCGTGAACTTGCAAGCTGCAAGTGATGGCCCCAAACTCCTTTCACTGACACACTCATCATTCGGTTAAGTTAAATATAATGAAGGAAACCGCGGACCGAGTCCACGGGTCATTCGAGGGCGCAGGTGAGTTGAGAGCGTCGCCAGTGGGACATGGCCTTATGTCAATGGTTCGCATGCCGCTGATTGGAAACTCGTCACATTGAGTAACTCCCCGGTTGCTGACCTTTTGGGTGTTGAAATAGCGCTTCCTCCGCACAAAAGCAGCGCATACGACATTTTCCCTCCGGCTGCCTTAGTGATATTGTCATCGGCTGATTTGCAATTTACCATACCTGTAGTCCTATTGTGGGAGGTTAAATCAGCAAAAAGCTCTAACTAGGTAACCGTTGCTTGTGTAAATGTTTTACTTTAGATACCGATTGTTCGAACCAATCGGTTAGGTTCGCTTTTCCAAATCAGACATGTGAACAGTGCATGCAGTTGATCGATCGCATTCCCTCTGTTCGTCTACGTCTTCGCTCCTAGTTATCATGGAGGTCTGTTTGGTTGTTTAATCCATCGCAGCTTAGCCACCCGCTCATCGACGCAAAGTTGACTGTTTGCATTGTATGCCCACTGGTTGCAATCGGTGACAGCCGGTTCACCGTCACGTGGTCCACTGGCTACTTCCCACAAATGAGTTGGATTCTGTGCAGCTTTCGATCCACTTGTACATGTGTTCCAGCCGATGAGATTTGCTTTGGTAACGTGACTTTCACACTTACCGATTTCAACGTCAGTTGATAGCTTAAGTAGTATACAAGAGGGCAGCAAGGCTGCGCATCGTAGACGCTTGTGTTTAGGGACGGTATAGCAATGCCCCTCGGAAATGTTCAACAAAGCAACGAATCCCAGCCCAGTAACTAGGACTATATTGAACGCAGGTACAATGACAGTGTAGCACCAGAGGGGTGCGGACTGTATACAGGGAACGCTAGTTATAATAGAGACTCAACGTAGCAAATCTGCGAAAATTGGGATACCGAAAAGCAAGCGCCAAGCAAGAGCGTTTGCACGGCTACCTGTAGGTCGCACTCAGCCCTACGCGGGTGTAGCATGTAGATATCATGGCCAAACCGACTCCCATACCCACTAGTAATGTGCACTGATAGCAGAGCAATGGACCCAGCAACAATTAGGGCTGTCCACCAGGGCTAATATTCAGAGTTCATAGCGAAAGTCGACTGTTCGTGGAGTTGCAGACCAAGCTAAGGAAATGGTCATAGGCGAGTGTTACCACGTCCTTCTGCTCAACACAATGAGAGGCTCATGAGAAAGCAACACTTACTAGGGTCAGGTTACACCTAATCGACTAGTATTGCATTGTATTTTGTCTCAGTGAGAGATCTGTTAGAGATGTGCAAGTAAGCATCGGACAAAAGACAGCCACAATTTGTGACTAATAGGCTAGATTGGCAACACGTCGTAAAGCGCTACTAGTGCCGGACGTCATCAGCGTGATTGGATCAGGTGACCACCAAGCAGTGGTAACTGGGCTTGTTTCCTAGTTCAACAAATAACATGGAACAAATTGTGTCGGCGTGGGCATGTGCGACATAAGCCCGTTCAGTGCCTAATCCGAAAGGTTGTGTCGACAGTACGCCGTGAGTTAAACGATGCCTCACTACAACGCGATCACCACCAGTCGCAAGCGTGCGAGTGATGATACTACAAGGTAGCTCGCATTTGCACAGATTCGAAACAGTAACCCGTGAACTAGAAGACAGACAGGCCTTATGCTAACCGGCCACCGAGCAATATGGTAGCTGGCTCGTGACTACAGGATATGGCTCAAGTCCGGCACAAGTGGCGAGTTTGCTGTCGTCCACCAAAAGGACTAACTGTTAAACTTGTGCCAGATGTTAGCTCCGGACAATGACTGATAATGACGGGGGTGATGAGAGACGCAAGGGGATCCTAAACCACCTTGTCTTCAGATGATAGCCAGCTGATTGTTACCGTGTGTTGCTGTTGATAAGATGTACGCGCCTTGACCCCGCATGTTTGCTTGGGGCATTTAGAACTCACCTTGGGTCCCCTCCTCTTTTAGTGTTCCTCACTCTCTAGATCAGCTAAGGAAGTATCAGATGAAATTACTGTTCTACTACCGATACTCTTGCTGGTCATGATGATGATGATGGCAATGAACCCGATGGAGCAGAATCTTAGTTCCGATAAGTAAACAACCATCTGACAGAACAACGTTTACAGAATGAAAGTTGGCACGATGTCATGTCGAAGTTCATCCAACTTTACATCAGAAACTGAAGGTGTGCATGGAACCACTGATGTCACGATGCATCCCTCTCCATTTACACCATCAACTCTAACCTTTACCAACACTTCTCCATACAAATATAAACACCACCCTATTTTAATTAATACCCCCATATTCATATATATCACCCAATTCATACACCTAACTCCCTTCTCTATCTCCCTATTTATTTCACATCCTTATCATACCCACTAAAAATCTACCTAACAATTAACCTCCTTCCCACCCATACACCTCCCACATATACATCCCCTTCCCCTTCATCTTAACTATCATCATCCCCAATCCCCCCCCAATATACCTACCCCCTACTCTACCCCTTTTAAAATCCCCTTCCCCATCTATCCACATTACCCCCCCATCTATCAATCCATTATCACCCATCCTCAACCTACTCTCACCATATTACTATCCTCTTCCCAACCATCCCTTAACCACCCCCTCCCCAAATACCCCCTTCCCCCCCATCAAATCAATCCCCAACCCTCTCTTTCCCGTATAAACCCCTTTCCACAAATCCCATTCTCTCCCTCATTAACCCCCCCAAAACCCCCCCCCCCAACACAAAACCCCACAACACCACACCACACCCCCCCCAAACCCCCCCCACCCCCACAAAAAAAAAAAAAAACACCAAACAAAAACCCAAACACACACACCCCCCCCCCCCCCCCCCCCCCAACCCCCAAAACCCCCCCCAAAAATTATTTTAATATTTAATATTAAAATATATATTATAAAAAAATTTACCCCCCCAAATATATAATATTATATATATTTTATCCCCCCCTTTTGTGGCGAAATTTGATCACGAGAGGAGGACTCTGGTGAATTAGCAAAAACCAAGTTAGATGCATGATGAGACCCAAAGCGGCTATCTTTTAAGGGAGCTGTGTTAGTTGGTCATATCTTAATTGACTTAAAATTGGTACGGAGTGAGGCAAACGGTGGCTTGATCTTTGCACACAAACACAAACGATGCTCACTCTGGCGTTTGACCCGTTCACTTGTGTGGTCCAATATGTTCCGTATTTGAAGGTATCTGCTGAATTACCTTTGGGTTTTATCAACGGTCGAGCAAGGACGAGGAAATACTCAGGGATAAAAAGGTCGCTACTGGGTTCCAATGAGAATGTCGAGGAGGAAGACGCTGCACCAGATAGGGCGAGATAGCCCAACGTCGGATCAGCTGATACAGACTCCGGGTGGGTCATTCGATTGCCCGAAGTGGTTCCTTTCCCGTCAAATGTCCACATGAGATGGACGCGACCTTGAGACTAGATGATTAAATGCATACATAAAGTAAGGGTGATGCAGTGACCCCAGCATAAGGGGAGAAAGTGAAATGGATGAAAAAAAACATATTTGAAAAGAGGTGAGAAGATAGAAAAAGGGTTAGTTCAAACGTACAATCAGAAGGCGCAGGTAATAAAAAAGAGGAAGATGCATACGTAAGTACGTCTGCAACTTGGAAGTTCAACAAAAACGAGCTATGCACAAGTAGAGCGGAGAGTAACGAGATAGAGCTACAGTTCTGATTAAGGAGTTTGCATTTATGGGAGTAGACGAACGTTATGAAGTGGACCAACAAAGACGTCCTCATTGATGGTAAGTTGCGGTGGATACAACACGCAGAAGAGCAAAACACATCAGCGTATCGTGTATAGACTGGAGTAAATAATTACACAATGCCTCAAAATTACACCATAGAAAGAATAAGCCAGGGTGCATGAAAAAGCTGATGGCTGCTAGCACAGAAAAGGAGATGCAGAAAAATGGCACTGTCGCCCGATGGTTATACTGCTCGCCTGTTATCTCCCATGGACTACGTCAGACTATCGGTGCCGTCGATATAGCAAATTTTTAGACATAAGTTAAGTCAAAATAAGCTTTAGGCCGGCATGTAGCCTAAAGGTAATGAGCTTGTTTTGTAATTCTGATGGCGCGGGTCCGAGCCTGCGCGTAGGGGCAGGGCGACCCTCGCACACAGACGGGCGCATTTTCAACTCTTCATAGTAAGACATCGGAGAGGACGCAAACTAACAGGGGAAACGGAGAAAAGTGCGATATCACTCGATCATACACATGTGGTTCATTCCTATTGGGCTGACTAGTTCGCGTGAGAGATATGGCAAGATGAAATTGTGACACAATAATGCATGAAGCAGTAGAACTTTGAATTTCGACGGTGTAGAAGAAACGGATGCTGCACTGAGGAGAAAAGTGTGCTGTGGTTTATTTAGATATACTAGTTAAGGTAACCGCTACAAGGCGTCTTGAGGTGTGCAATGATTGTTATCCCAAAGCCTTAAGTGACCGGTTTCATCCAGTGCACTATGAGCTCTAGCAACATTTAAAATTTTGTCCTTTGTCGTATTGTCTCCCCGTCCTACACGCATTTGCCACATGTATTCGTGGATGCAACGAAGTTTACCCCTATGCTGCGCAAACAGTTTGTCGGAGCAACGATTGCGCAAGCGTTTCAAGTTACTTCCCAACTCTGCATTCGCCATTGTGGTCATCTTTAGGTAGGTCTGAATTGATGGCGCAAACGCTTATAAAATGAGCTCATTCAGGTGCACAAAAACGTATTTTGGCCTAACTTGAACGGAAATCAGTGCGTACGTTCGGGGCGGGAGGTGAACTGAAACACTAAGAACATGAGAGCACAAGTTCGGAATGAAAGCGTGAAATTTAACCGCCCATATATTGTGAGCATGCTACGGACATAGTAAAACTGAGATAAATGACGGAGTCGTTTCGCTCTGGTATTTGGAAGGAGAATAGCAATGTTCAAAGGAACTTCTTACCAGTGGCCGAACCATCTTGATCTCCGGCGGATCCACTGAACTGATGTGCTCCGTGCTGACCACGTTGGACCAGTCGGAGGGAGGGACCAGACCAACTCCGGTGGACGGATCAACGGCAAGCACACGGAACCGATATCGCTTCGACGGCTTTAACACGGTGTCAGTCACGTAGAGGAAAGACATTGTTGTCTGTAGGGAAGAGAGGAAATGGTGATGATGGATAGACGGAGTTAGTTAAATCACTAAAGTCCTCACAAACCCGCAACTGGGGAAAAATTCCTACACCACAAAACGATGAATAGTGAGAGCATGTACGCTTCGCGGCACCACGTTGATTGCGACTATCCGCAGAGTCAAGTGAAGGGAGTAATTAGGCACGGGCGGTCAAATTGAAGGACAAGAAGATAGGTGAAGACAGTAGTAATACAGAAATGTTATTAGAAACTGGAAGCGATATAAAGTCCCGTTGACCATAGAGAAAACACTGAATACTGAGAACAGAGCCAGTAGATATGTATCTGTGTTGCTTCATTGTAGTTAGACCGGGCACATGTGCAGAATAATGTCCCTTATTCATGTGCGTTTGCATCATACTAGGGCTGCGCCATGTGCTATGCACCGTAAATCTGAAATCCGTAGAGCGGTTATCTTGGAATCCTGTGAATTCCGGCACTGTTTTCGCCTCGACTATTTTCTCGGACAAACTGTTCCAATATTCCACTACCTGACCCTCAAAGTATAGAGGATGAGTTATTCGTTTTAGGTCCGGTACCATAAGCTTGTATCGGTGGCCGCGAGTACTGCTTGGTGCGCGCACGTGCATCAGTGGCCACAACATGGGGAAGTGACCCAGATGCAATACCAGATGCGTCATATTGAGGTCAACTCGAAACGATAGAGTGTACAGCCCTTGTTGTCTGCATGGGTTTTCGTACCACATATCACGTAAACTAGAGATGAGTCTAGTAGCTGCACGCTGAACCCGTTCCAGTCTCTGCGCTTCGCCACAGGAGATCGGACAATAGGCGGGTGATCCGTACTTGAGCATTGGGCTCATGTTGGAAGAGAAGAAGTGCATGACAATCCCTTCAGACGAAATACATGAGCTACGTTTGACCGCACAAAGCATGCACAGTCCCTTTAAATATAGTTTGTTCGTGTTATCTACGAACCACAAAGCGCAGTGTGTGAGTACGCCGAGATCCTTCATGGAAGGTGTTAGATGTGGTGGTTGGCCGATCAGAGTGCACGTACGCGTATCACCACCCTTTATAAGCTCATATATAACGATTCGACTGAGTTGACCTGCACACCGACCTCTGGACACCAAATGAGCAAACAGTCGAGGTCATGCTGAAGTACGTCGTAGTCGTCGAGAGCATCAATTTCTCTCCAAATCTTCAGGTCGTCTGCAAATAAGTCACAAGGCGACCGAGAAAACTAAGGTAGTTCTCTGACGTGGATCGGGAACAAAATGGGCCCCAGTACTGTACGTTGGGGTACCCTGCTAGTGGAGGGATATCAGTCCAATGTTGGAAGGGTAACAGTCCGTTAGAGATGGTTATCAAGATATATCCTCCATTTTCGCCCAATGTGAATGTTACTAATTCCGTTGTGCAGTGAGCCACGAGCACCGCACATCCTCAGATTATTGAGGAGGACTACATGGTTCACTTTGTCGAACGCTTTACTGAAATCAAGGCAGATCACATCCCTCGATTTGTCAGCTTGCTGGAGAATTTGGTAGAGGTAAAATGGCATCTCTCTTGCATGCTAGATGAGATCCGAACTGATGCTGCCTGTGGGAATACGAGTAAAATAATGTTTTAAGTACACGACTGCAAGTGTCTCCACCACCACCATCATCAGGAGCATTAATAACATCGCGATATATAGCACTTACGACAGGGAACCATAAGACTTGAGAAAGGAGACTGAGTATAACCTAAAACGTGATGTGCGAGATGATGTGGCTATCCCGCACGCTCTTCCCAATCACAAACATGCAACAGTGTTAGACAAAAAACGGTGCTATATGAGACCGGAGGGGACCCAGTCCTTGGGCTATCAGGGTAGGCTTAAAGGATCTTTTCCAGTTAAGCCCCGCCACCCAAAAAAGATTATGAAAAGGGAGGATATGGAACTTGAACTTTTACTCTCTATTGAAGAGGGTGAAATTGAGACAAGTCATTAATAATTTGCATGAAAAGGTACATTTTTCGGTGTCTTTGCCTCCAAACGAACTCACACAGGTAGCTGTCCACTAAAGATCGGTGTGTGCCGCATTGGCGCTTATTCTGCATCTTGAAAATGTGCCAGAGAGATTCCATGGTTTGTGTGTGAGCTCCAGTCGTTGGATCCACAAAGTTTTCGGTATGATTAACCGTTTGATGAGTATAACTCATGCCAATCATCGATTCAATGCCTTGGTATGATGCCCACATATCGGAAATGATAATTGAGTCGGGAGCGATGCAGGCCTGGATTGTGTCCAGCAGAGTGGCCGCAGTTCGATCTGGCACTGCATACAAGAACACTTCTTTAGTCTCCCGGCAAATCCCTCCGAAAATCCACTGCTGGGGAAGGACTCGCCCTGCATGGTTTTTACGACGTGATATTAGGGTTTCAACGATCTCGACATGTAGACCTGGGCCGCCGACAAGCGCTGGAGTCTACAAAAGCTGCCAGGCGCAAATTACACGCAGAAAGTTCTTCCAGTCGACAGCGGTCGAGTGGCCAATAGATAACTCCTCTGAGCAGAATTTGATTGTTGTCAGATTTTTGGACCAGCAATAAATGAATAGGATTATTATCCTGAAATCCATCCTAGACCGCTCCAGCCAAGTTCCCTTTCGAAGACCGATTTCTTGCCAACATTGTCGGGCATCACACCTCCACCTGTCAGAAACAGCTGAAAGTGTCATTTGGTGTCCTCGTCTGCATAAACGTTGATGATGAATCACTCCATGTCTTTGCAAAAAACGTATTGCTGTTTCCTTGTCATGAACGACCGCCGAAATCCTCAGAAAGTTCATGTCCGGTTTTACGTGCAAACGTAGAAACTTTTTGGACAAAAATGACCTTAGAAGCGGATAAAGAGTGTTTTTATGGGGCACGTTCACATGCATTACGTACACTGGAGCTGGCAAACAGTGGCGGGGCTCAACTTTTCACGCGTGCCCTTATTGCACTATTGATGGGGCTTGACTTTTCAGGTGTATCCTTTTTGCCTTAGTGGCGGGGCTTAACTTTTTGCGCGTGCTCTTTTTGCATTCGTGGCGGGGCTTAACTGGAAAAGACCCGGCTTAAAAACAAACTCAGCTCGGTCAGCGCAACGGTGGGCATTCGCGATCGATAAGGATGACCTCCAGTCGCATAAAAAGTTGGGGCCGCTAATCAACCAGTACGAAGATGAACGACTCATTAAGGTTGACTCGGTGGCTCGTGTTTAACAGGTACTTTGTGAATGTCGAGGCAGCTTGGTTTCGCGATTCAACTGGTTCCGTCGTCATCGATCCCATCTCGCTGCGTAACTAATTGGAGATGTGTTCACTTATTTTGACACATACACACTGTGAGAACGCCAAAAAGGAAAATTACGCGGAGTAGCAAGAAAGATGAGGTGGTATCACACACAGCCTTACCTAACAAGCAACTTATAACACATGCAGTTAAAGTCAGTTCAGGCAACAGGCGAGGGCAAACGAATAACCTATGCCTCTACCTATACCATTTCTCAATTGACTGCAATCTCAACGCAATTGCCTTTATCCCTAGTGCAGCAGCTTGCATCCTTAGCGCGGATCTATAATCCGACAACCACGGAAATTGCATCCACAACGCCCTGAGTGGGCAACCGCTCCAGCATTCGGAAATTATGCTGGCATGGCTGTTTAACCTAGGTGCAGCTGGAGCATAGAGCCGTCGGTTGAGGCCTTGCTACACAGACCTCAGCCATCCGCTCGTATAGGTGCTCACCAACGAGGGGACAGGTGAGGAACGGATGGCCATGGTGAACAATCTTGACTTGATATTCAATATGTGGCAAAATTATTCACGCAGGCCATCCGTGCTTCACCTGCCCCTTCGCCTCAAATAGACATCATATTTGCTCGCTCAAGCCCTCTTGATACATCGTTTTGATTCATTCACAACGGGCTCGATTAAGACAGGGGGGTGACCACGTGTTCCGAAAATGCTCACTGTCACATCTGCGTTCATCCTATGCTGACTTCGACTTAACATCACATGACGAGCCTTGGGGTATGGAGCCACTTCGTGAGCAAGCCCCTGCTTCCATCTCCCTTATTGTTTAGTGCTGGTGTACACCTAAACGAGTGGATGGCTGATTTCCGTGCAGCAGGACTACAACGGATGTCCCTATGCCTCATCTGCATCTAGGTTAAGAAGACATGCCGGCATAATGTTCGAATGCCATTGAGTGGTGGATGAAATTTCCGTGACTATTAGCCCATAAATTTGCGTTAAGAATGCAAGCTGCTGCATTACGGATGAAAACGATTGCGTTAAGAATGGAATCAATTGAGAAATGGCATAGATCGATAGGTCCTGTAAATACATCGAGCCAACTACAGAGCGGGTTGTGATAGCCCAGTAAACGCCGCTTGTAGGAACGAATGCGACGGAAACACAAATTGTACTGGAAGAGTTTGGGTGTTGCTCGCTTTCAATACGGCACCGCATGACTGGTTTCGTCCTCTTTCAGACTCCTGAGGGAAAGTTGGCCTGAACTGGGAGTGAAACTTGATGACTAATGGTTTGGGGTTGACGCCTTGACACAAAACCACTGAGATCGGTTAGGAATACAAAGTTCAGCTGTGGAATACCCAATATATGGCTGGACTGCGACGCGCAATTCCTATTGGGACCGCGGTTTAGTTTGAAGTGGGCCTTATTCATTGTGATCAGCAGGATCTTATCCGAAGTGGAGGCAGTTTGATGCCGTTCGTTCCCGACACTGCATTCGACGAATGGTTTCGTCTTCTTTTTGACTCCACAGAAGTTGTGGTGGCCTGGGTTGCGAGTGGAACTTGATGCCTAATGGTTAACGGCCGACGCCCTGATCACTAGGCCAATGCGGTTCGCGAGCATCAAGCGGGTAAGTGACCATTGTCTGTGGCGCGTTCTAAGATTTAGATGTAAAGTCCAAGAGATTGTGCGAACCAATACGTCCAATGGTTTCTTTCGGCGAGAGAAACAGACAACAAATGGGGTAAATAAAACTAACAAGCTAGTATGAAAGAAAGGGTGAAAGTACAACTCACCTGTTGCTTCAACGGAATCTGTTCGCTCCACTTCACCGCTTCGTGTCCAACCAGGCCGATCAAAGCAGGCACGTGCGAAGACACGTTTGAACCTCCATGCCGTTGCGCTTCCTCCACGGGGTCAATCTGGACGGAGTACTCCACTCGGTACTCCACTGCCTTTGACTGCCCGATAGTTGACAACTCTGAATTTAACGGTTGCCAAGCCAAATAAACCGCTAGGTTATCGTACAGCACCTGAGCTTGAGGGGTGAGCTCGGCGGTAGTGACTTCTGGTGTCGGGAGTTAGAAGGCGAAAAGGAAATATCGTTAGAAGAAAACGAAGTAATTAGTGAAACACCAAAGATATCGGAAAAAATGCTTGCAGGATTATGTCATTGCCTAACGCAAATGTACGTTGCATAAACACGGAGAGGAAAAACCCTAGGCATGCGTAACGCGTTGTCTTGTGTCCTCCACGCGAGATGGTCGCAAGTAACAGGCAGGCTATGGTGAAATTCCAACCGGCGCACACAAACAAATGGCAGTGGTGAGCGAAATGGGTAGTGGAGGCTTAAGTCTGACAGCTGATCATTTATTCACAAAGAATGTGCAAGTTGTGGTGGCGAGGCTAGTTGTTGTCCTGCTATGGACATGGGGTAGAAAGGTGTGCGTGCACGCGGACTGCAAACTCTCTGACCGGAGCTTTGAAACAGAAAACGGTACGGCCCATAGAGTACAAGGATCGACTAAGGGTGGGGCTAAGTGAGAGGGACAACAAATTGTTGAAGACCGGCGTCATGGAAATCGACTAATATAAACGCTACAACCAAGTCAGATTACAGAGGAAGAAGCCTGTACCAAATAACAATGGCCATGAAGAAACATCTTAAGAAGTAATGTTGAAGTACGTTTGAACATTTCGTTCGTTCAAGGACTAGAAATACCAGCAAATGAAGCAGAAGTGTGCTCGAAGTGCAATTAGATTAGCACAGCTCCATTTCCTCCGGGTTACTGGACCGATGCATGTACTGTTGACGGGTCACGCCCGTCTGCAAATAGTCACGCAATGATTTATGGTGCAGGCAGTGGCAACACTGACAAAAGGAATGTGGACCAAAGTTCCTAGACGATGCACTACACTTGATGAGAGTTCAGCAGGGGTACCGAGTGCGATGCAACTATGATTCATGATGAAGCGCACATCCACCATGCCATCGCTTGAATCGAATAGGAAGATTTATGTCCTCTGACACGCTATGATGAAGCACAAAGCAGGCAAGCAACGGGAATTTAGGGAATGGAACGTGCTGTGTATGACAGAACAACAGCCCTGAAAAATGGAGGTAGCCAGAGTAGCAAAAAGGAAGCGCATCATAACAATGGAAAAACGAGTGCGAATCTATTCGAACGACTGATCAGTGATGCCTTCGCAGCTTAGCTCATGTTTGACGAGAAGACTGCGTGAGCAATGAGCGTGTTGGGCGCCGCTTATTTGGTGCAGGAAGAGCGAGTGAACCGCTCAGCACCATTATATCACGCACCAGGCTCCGATAGATGGGCCATGTGTTGCGCATGTCAACACACCGATTCCCGTGATGTACGATGTTTGCGCGCCCGGGGGTCTGGATGGAAGAAGAGGAGGGGTGACCGAGCGATGACTTGGTCAAGAGGAATGAAATCCCTCATTTCGAAGCTGGCGTTGGTTGGTGTGTCCCGACAACCTGGCTGTGGTCCGAAGGACCATGAACACGTTTGATTGGATACACTTGCGAGGAGCCGATCTCAATGGCGTTCGTGTTGTGAGTTCCTCTGTCCCTACTCTTCCCACTTAGCCTCTCCTTCCAACCACGAGCTCACACTGCATGGATAAGATTACACTTAGTATTATATTACATGCTCTGTTAGTTTTTGTGCGCTGTAAGGTTTAGTACCTTACTTTCTTATATATCTCATTTTTGTATTGCGACACAGCTAGTTGAAATGTGTCTGTCACTTTCGGCTAATGGGCAATGATGACGATGATAATATGCAAAGGACTGAATTCTGAGAGTGAAAAGAACGGTGTTATGTGCGCAGATTCAAAAATCGCTCTCTGTGGGCATCGAACGTGAACGCGAACATGAGGACGTAAGAAGCGTTCAGTACAGTGGGTTGAAGCTTCAGGGGAAACAGTTTGCGGGCAACATGAGCGGGATCTCAGAGCAATCGAATGCGTTAGAATTTCAAGATGTATCAATGCACTGCGTGACATTAGAATAGCTCGTGGTAAATCGCTGCCTATGGATGAGGGCAAATGTAAAAAAGGACGCAACAAACAGAAGTGAGTTAGTACAAAGGCCAACACTGTAAAAATATCCAACTCTCTACACCCACCTGGAGTAGGGGGGTTCGGAGCTATCTCCGGTTTTTGTGGGATGTACATGGTCAGTTCATCCGCTGTGGGGAAAAACAAAGAGACAAAAAGATGAGACAAGGGAAGATTACATATGTGAAATCAGCACTCTGCACCCGCTTTTTTGAGAGCAAATTAGAATCAATGACTAAAATCTCCACAAGTCACATACTCCATAGCTGCTGTATGTGAAACGGCGTCCTGGAAAGTGCCCAAGAGGTGACGGTTCAAAGACTACGCCGCTATGCACGCACCGCAGGGGATATCGAGCTTGAAAAGACAGTCTTCCATTTCGAGTTGTAAGCGAGTTTCTGTATATAATGTGGGAATGAATAGTAAACAACAATGCAGACGCATATGAACTCTATACTGGAAGGTGCAAAACTGCGATGACTCGGTTGTGCGGGCTGTATCATTCACGCCTCGCTGTCCGAACTCCATAACGTCGGTAAGGAGTATGTCGATTTGCACTGTGCAATTGGCGCCACATTCTGTTCTGGCTAGGGCCCAACGGAACTTCGTATAGCGCGCGCTCTGTATAAGTAATGCATAAAATGTTGTTCCAGAAGTACCAGTCCCCTAAAGCCGAGCCAACGTTTAATGACAAGGAGCTGACAGATCATGGTCGATCTGTGTACCTGCAAAACCGTGTGGTTAAAACATATGTGTATGGTTAAAGCTGGGTAACTAGACCTTTCCCGGTCAAATGCATCCATTACGCTTTGGAAATCCCTCTCAAAGAAAACACGTGCCCTTACATATCGGTTACGATGGTCCTGATTGCTATCGCACTACACATAACGGGTGAGGACGCCTGTCATATGTACTCGTCTGATATACCATTGACTGATTCGGGACTGGTCACCCAAGGAACAATACGCGAACAGGGATGTTCACGCCCATTGGATGCGATTTGACAGTTGTAAGGACCATTCAGAGAGATCTGTCTCCATAAGGAGGAATCTGAAAGGTCTATATATGCAATTTGCTGAGATAAGGTACAGTTGCAAGTCAATACAATTTAAAAGAAGCGCTGAATCGAAACAGCGCATACATGAGATGGTGATAAGCACGGATAGTCTCTGCGATGAAATCAGAGATCCAATCTCATCGGGAGTGGGACGGGCGATGTTTGTAGAACGGATGGAAGACGGAGGGTAGAGGTTTCATTGGTTGCGATAGAATGGGTTATATTACGTGAAAACATGTGGTCCCGCCTAAGTTATCAAGCGAGGACTTTTCTCCCTGTCAAAGTCACTGGTGCAAAGCTCGGAGATAACCGCTCATGTGGCGAAAAGATAAAGGCGACGACCCGTTAACTATCGGTTGTTGTGCCCAGCGACAGTGCAGAGAGGTGAGCTAGCTGGAGTTGGGGTGTTAAAGAAGCTAGGCGACCAAAGCGGTACGATGTTCGGAGAGGCCCACTCACAAGGCGGGGTCACAAGAGTACACGTGCTATGTGAGTAGCTAGCGAGTCATGATACCAGGCTAGGATTTAGAAGCTTGAAAATGCTCGCATGGAGACAATCTTCGATAATTGTGGGTCGGTAAACACAGTTGGTAGCGTGAAGATTGAGAGAGCAAACTTTTTCGATAAGCAATGTGGTCCTAAACGATGGTTTGTCAGTGGAGGAGGCTTGGATTTGCCGTGAGCTTTCTCGTAAGGCCAGAAGGATCACTGCGCTAGCCATCAGTGCAGGTGAATGCGATGCAAAATGACACGGATGCAATAGATTAAAAGCGCGCACCGGGTGCATATTTACCTTCGTGGTTTGCGCCAAAAAGGTGCGTTAGCGCTGTCGTAACCAGCTGGTTTGTTACGGCTAAGGTCAATGGAGCCCATGACGCTGCGCATTTTCTTACAATCTCTGCGTGACAGCCAACTTGGGAGATGGTCGTCGTAAATGTCAAGGTACGATGGGCGAAAGTGTACGTACCAGGACAATAAGACAGCGGACAAACCAAGGTAGAAGTAGACAGAAATACTTACATGTGCGGATAACCTTGTCCGATTCCAAAGCTAGAATTGCCGAAGCGGAGATCCATTCGTCGAGGAGTGCTTGTTTGTCCGACTTGCGAAATGCCACACACTGGTATATGCCCAAGTCCATAGCGGTGACATTTGACAATATGAGTGTACTATCTATTGAATAAATAGCCAAGAAAATAAGAGTATGAGTTAAACCACTAGCTACCAGACGAACAGAAGGAAGTGTGTATTCTCTGGGAGGTGTAATAGGGGAAGGAGTGAGGAAAATTCAAAGCGGTAAACAACGAATTAAATCATAATGCAAAAGGAAATAGATAACAGGCTGAAGTTTTTAACGGATGTTTTTAGGTAGTAGGTCAATTTGATCGCTCTGATTTGGACATACGATTGGAGCATACTGCATATTTAGTAAATTCCGAACTCCAAAACAGAAGCAGAAGATAATAAGGAATTCAGTTGGTGTGGTGTCAAGAAAACGAATGGAATTCGTAGAAGTGGGTATTAAACAGTCCGAAGAACCCCCTAGAAAGAGAGCTGTTGTGGAGAACAAGGAGGTAGAAGAAAAGGTGTAAAGAACCGAGGGAAACTTTGTAAGGCAAAATGGATCGATCCGAACTGCAGAACACGAACGCAGGGGTGATTGGCTGTTGTTTGATATCCCCAGTGTGGCTGCGCTTGATGTGCATGTTGACAAGGTGCCTAACTGTCTATTACCCACTACCTCGTCCATACTGGCTCCAGGAGACAGTTGGTCGTTGCTGGAGGGGACGGGATGCACGGTCCTTGTGGCCGTGCTAGGCTCGAAGAGTGGTTCCATGCACTCAGCGTGGAGCGGACTACGGTTCAGCCACCGCCTTGTGTGCGCTTGATTCCCAAATACAGTGTGCTTGTGTTTGCCTGTGAAGGAGTGTGGGCCGGCTCCGTTGATGAAACGTGGCTCCCATCCACATGCCTCCCGGTCTTATTCCTTCGGGTTTACACTGGATATGGGGTGTATGGTTGGAGCTGTGGGTAGTGCAGCGCAAGCTATCCATGGTCCCTCTGTAGGCGCAGGCGTCCTGTGGCTTGCCACAATGACAGGCAAATCCGAAACCGGATGCCGCCAACCATGTGGGTGTGTGACGTGTACCAAACCATGCCAAACAAAATGGTAGAAGACACCAGCGCTCGGTGGATTTATGCAAACCAAGCAAAAGCTAGGTTTGTAAGAGGTGACTAGCGATGAGGGATTGCAAAAGAAAACACGATGAGACCATCGGTGGTTCGTTTATTAAATGGAACTCGTTGGGAATTAGTTCCATCGTCGATGGCATCGGTGAGATGGCACTGACGGCATGTACGCACCGATGCTGAGAGATTGCAGCGATTCACCAAATAGTGGTGGGTCTCTGACCACTTAAACATGATGTGAACAAAGCATATTTGATGATCTTCACCTCCAAAAAATACCGAGGGTTGGGTGAATAATGAAACAAGACAACACCGTCCGGAGTACCCAACATTGTCTTGCGTCAGCACCACACTGACTCACAAGAGAGTAAGAGGAGGAAAAACCGAGCCACGTTCCTCGCAAGTAGAGGATGCGTTAATCATAGTAAGGGTAATGACCCGGGGTGCATTGTGTAGGTGGCAGGAAACAAAAAGACAAAAAGTGCGCGAGCAGAATGGACAGGGTGGAGTTTTCGGGTTCGAGTCAGCTAACCCGGCCAGCGATAGTAGATGGTCTCATGTTGAGGATTAATGTCATCAGGTTCCCATGTGGTGAACTCATGACCTAGCGCACTGATAACGTCAATGGGGGGTGGGAACGATAAGTTGTAGCCTTGGACCATCCCTGCTCGATACAAAATACCACAGTCATTCGATACAAGTAAAATAAATGCGGTGAAGCTTAGAAAAAAGCACGGAATATCTATTGAGTTGCCCATATGCAGGGAATATCGTTGAGAAATAAAATATATCTTTATTTATTCATCGCAAACCAACTCCGCGTCCATGTGTTCGCCAAACAGAGTGAATTAACAGATAAAGCAGAGGCACAGCAGTGATCAGATTATTGATGGCAACCAGCAGGCACACGTACACTAAGCGAGCGAGTCCAGGTCCCTTTGGAACATTTCCGGTCGGGAATAAAACGCCATCACGCCGTCATTCGTGAAGCGGCATAATTAGCATGGATATCTTATCGTAAAGGAGAAATACGGTTGTCGTCACCAGAGGCGTATAAATCGACAACGCGATAATACGTGGAGACAGCAGAGCTAATGTCAGGGTAAAAGTGCGGTTTTCGGACGGCATTCAAAAGTGTAGCTAGAGTAACACGGTCCCTAGAAAGAACTCAGTGAAGCGAAAGGACAAATTTGTTGTCATAAATCACGTGTTGGAATAAAACTGCCGCGGAAGATGAACACGAACACGCTGACACCGGCTTGAAAAATGCGATCTCACCGATTGCGGGAGAGAGAACAGAAGCACCAGGGATGTATTAGTGCAGCGCGATACGCACAGTCACAGCGAGCCTGTTCCAAAGCTTCGGTGCAGCGGTAACTGTGAGTCACAGATAAAATGGTCACAATGAGTGGACTCAAATTGCTTCAAGGAACACTCAGAGCAAGGAGTGGGAGTAAAACACGGCCGAGGATATTCACGGCCAGTAGCAAATTTTATCAAGGAGTTTATCTGAGAATACAACAAACAACGGGGGTTCCGAGGTCAGTCGAGCTCATCCGATCTCTCCTTAACGACATGTTATCACTAAAAAGGTGCGGTAGACGAGAGAACCAGTAAAGCGTAGAACGGGGGCTACCATGTAAACGACTAGCGGCATCAATCGTTCACCCATGCGGAATCGTGGAGATAACATCAACAGATACGATGCCGCAATCCATCATGAGGGATAGTGCTTGTGATGGAAGCAGTGTATCGGATGGAGCAGACATACCAATACATACATATAATACATACATATCGATCAGACACGAACAAAACGGCCTCGGCTATTGATTGTCATCCAGGTGCGTTGATTGAATGACGGCCACCAAAAGTCGTTTACATGGAGTAAAGAGGGAACGCTACTGGTGAAAATGCGTCGTTGTTAATGGCACTGGCAGGACAATATAAATGAAAGGGTTAAGCGAATGATCTGTACTACATGTTCCGTTTATTCATAAATGACCGAGTTTTATGATAATGCTGATCTTAGAATGACGTCTAAAGGTGGTGTACAGCCGTGCCCCCACCATACCTCAGAATTCACTCTGCGTGTACCGGAGTGTATGTGTGTTCGAGTGCTTATATTGGTTGCTGCAACCGCAAGCCCATTTCAGCCGTGTTTCAGTAATGCCGCCAGCCTCGACCAACTTTCGTAGCTAACCAAATATGAGGCAAATTGATATAACAATGTGACTTGAATAGAAGACCCGCGTAGCCCCCGTTCATCTCGTTCCACGCGATGATAGAAAGGACTGAGTCATTGGTTTCCGAGGGCGGATCAGTGGATGAAATTGCATCCGCAGGGGACGCTCATGATGTTTGCAACAACACAGAAGAAGATACAAGGATGGGGTGAGGCGCAGGGGGCTACAGCGTCTCCGACTGATCACGTCAAGTTAACTGATTTTGACAGTTAAGGTAAAAACAACAGATTAACTAGTTGAACGACGAAACCACATCCACTGAACGAAGTGAACGTTTGCAAACAGGCTGTAAAATGGGCCCGTAGGGAGTAAAAAAATCGAGGGTGGTGGTAGGAAAACACAGATCCAGGCCAAATAGCAATCAGTGTCAGGAAGGTGTGCGTAGAGCTGTCACAAATGGCAGCCGTGTGCAGTGCGAACGGGGGTCAGTGAAGCGAGTTGTGGTGATGCAATTAGAAACATACACGATATCCAGGCTCGTTCCGGAGTCCGATTTCGGCCCAAACAGACGTGCAGGGGGTAAATAACGAGTCATACTGGGCGCAAGAAAACGGGACGTAGCATTCCCAGTCGCAGTAGTGCCATTTGCGGTGGCATTTGGAAGGGTTACCGACAGACTGGCGGATAGGTGTGTGTACCGAAGAATGATAAAAATAAGCAGAAAGCCACGATTGCACTGATTTGAGCCATTGTTAAAGGGATAATCCAAGATGGAATGGATAATACGCATAGGGAATAGAAACCAACACGTTTAGCAGGAGGTTAAACAGGATTCAGTCGATAAAGTTGTATCACGGAGCCGCGAGCAATTAGTGAAGAGTCAACTGAAAACCGTATTACTAACAAATCACGACTGACTGCACGCTAAGAACGGATGATGGAGGACGGATTTCCATCGAATCCCAGCAATAGTTCTGTTTTTGGGAAATTACTCAACAACCCTTGCGCGAAATGGTGTCGTAACACTGAAAAAGGTTGTTAGTCGGTAACAACAGCGTTGAGAAGGTAGAATGGAAATAGTTCAGTTATGGTAACGATGTTGGCGACTTCGCACAAGTCTTCGTCCACGTTACGAAATGATCCTCATTGTAGTTGTGAAGCAGCAGTCTTAAATACCAACATGTAACATTATATTACATGATTTTGGATTCTTACGTAGTGATATTTTTAGTATCTTATCGTTTTGTATTGCGGCACATTAGCTGAGGCGTGTTCCTCACTCTCAGCTTATGTGTATTGATGATGATGATGATGAGGTAAGGCATAGACACGCACGCACACACACATAGGCATACACCTCGGGATGCGTATCTGTTTGCGTAAGGCATAAATACACACGCCATAACTGGCTGTCAATGGTTAACAAGTGTAAAGAACAGTAGGATTAATGGAGAATGAAAAGTAAAATATGAAGAGAACAATGCATTAAACAGAATGAGGGCCACTGCACAGAAGAACAGACAGTGTTAATTTTGTGTGTCCGAGGACAAAAGTGAGGGGGAAACCAGGATGCATCCAAAGTTAACTGAGAATGCTGGTAGAGCATTTGCGCTCTGCAAAATATCGTTACAAAAAAATTCGCTTCATAAATCCTTCCAAATTCACAGTTCAGTGCAGTCGAACAACTATGATCCGAGCACTGAAGTGCGGCCCCTAGTCACAACTCACATCGTGAGAATAAGAATAAACAGCGACGGAAAAATAGTGGGGTTAAATGCAAATAGAAAGTAAAGAAAA